TTGTTGTCTTTTGCCATGTCACAGCTACCCTATAACCATGTTGTTTTCAAAAGCTAAGATACCCTGAATGACGTTCCAAGACGGGGAAGACTAGGGTTGGAGGTTGTCCAACATGACGGACTCCTGAAAGGTTAAACTTCAAAGTCATGACACTTACATGATTTGGACAAAGTTGAGTTTGGCTGCTGGTGGCTGATGTATACTTGCATGGCCAGTATCGTGTACTCGATTTCTTTCGTCTTTCCGCTTCTATTTACTTGTGGAGCTGGATAAATAACAGGTCCCGCCTTTTACCACACTGTTCGGGCGGAATAAGGGCGAGATACCCCCAGAATGGCAAGAAACTCACGATTGGGAGTTCGCTGCTTCTGACGACCTCCCTGCAGGCCCGTAGCTGGCGACTAGCTATGTCTCACATTTTTTAATACATTGTACAGTTTTGTGGTCATACAAGATCGCACAACAAGTGTGCACAAATTTGACCAGCCGCGACATGTGGGCAGGCCCATGAACTATCGCTGTTTGACAGCCACGGTAAGCGAGCTACTAGCTGGAGTGTGCATGTGCAGCATAGTATACGGCGGTTTACAGGCAGAACGCCTTTGCCAATTGATCAAGAATATTTCGCCCGACCGAGGTTATCGTAATAAGCAGGACTCTTTTGTTCGTCCAGCAAATAGAAGCGATAAGAGAAATCTGGTCTATTGATATGAAAGTAGCTGTAATACGTTTCAAAAAGATTTGCCATAGTGTACCAACTTAGCTGTACTTACTTATTGCAGTTTAATTACACGGTCATCCATGGCCATAGCATACGACTTTCACAATAAATGGTCCTCAAGTTGTTCACCACTGTAATTGCGTGGGTTTTCCGCAGTTGCGCCCTAAGCTTACTCTGGAGGTTTGCAATCAATGTGTTACTATGTGATCCATCTCATCTTATGCCTCTACTCGGCATTCAGAAGCTTGAGCGTGCAAGAAGTTCCAGATGCAAATAGATACAACAACTCCATCAGTCCAAGATGTCTAATAGCAAAAAGCAGTCCATTTCTGATCGTACACCCCTTATCAAATCCATGTCTTAGAACTAGGCTTCACCAGCCTAATTCCCTGGGCCGGAGGCGATGAATCTTCGACCTCTTCCTCGGACATCTCCTGTGAGGTCCGCTCCCACAGGCTTACCCTCTCCTCTTCGTCATCTAAACCTCTTGGGTATCGCCGCGACTGGCCCGCTGAAGAGCTACGTCGTGTGCGTTCCGTGGAGCGTGCATCCTCCTGGCTCCGATAGTTTCGCGGAGGAGAGTTATTTGGTAGCATGTCAGACGACGAGGGGAATCCGGTCATCGTGGGAGTTGTTGGGGTTTCAAATGGATCGCTTTTGATTGGATTGTGGTACATTGTCGACACAGTGGGTGCTGGTGGCTCATCATTTGCACGTGGTGGTACAACTAGCGACTGCGAACTACCCAGCATTAACGAAGTGTCGGTGCTTGGTGGTGGAGGATACAGGAATGATGAGTTTGTTTGTATTGGCGGTGTGGAGTGCACAGCGTTCCTGTGTTCATGCGTGGCATCCGCATCTCCACTACCTGGCGGGCGGTACGAATGCACAAGATCTTGCGATCCAAATTTGATGGCTGGTCTCCGCGGGCTGTATGGTGTTGTTGATCTAGACGATAGTGACGACGCGCGATCTGTCTCGGACAGCCGCGGCACAGGGGCATCATATAGCTGATGACGTGTCAACCCATCATACGCGTTATTCGTGTGCGTGGAAGGAAGACCGTCATCTGGACGCGCCTGAAGAGAGGAGCTCGCGTGCCTGCTTGATTGGCTCATCGTCCGTGCTGAACGGGCGCGAATGATGCTGCTCATGGTGCCGAACGTGCCACGTAACGCTTCGATGCCGGCGTTTTCCATACCGGCAATACCCTTCTCCTCAGCGTCTTCCGTGGGTGCGCGAGAGGCTTGAAGGAGCATGGTGGACCGCCGATCGAGCTTCAGATGCGTAGGGTCGATCTTGGACATTTGGAGGATCGTGATGCCCACGCATATTGTGAGGAAGGCCAGGACAAGGGTAAGAATTTGCGAGACAGAGGAGCTGAGCCCTTGGAAGAGGACCTATAACGATAGGTAAGTGATCAGGCGGTATTGATAACTGTGGCTGTGCGCACGATGGTTGTGACCATTGAGCAAAATGAAACTGTTTGAAGGGGTTAATGTCAATCAGTAACGTGACTGGCCGTAAGTCACGTACATAAAACGTAGTACGTGGGCGTTACTACGATGGTTCAGATCAAATCAGTCGGGCGGTGAGTGTTGGCGGGAAAAAAACCTTACCCATAGCTGCAAAGTGTAATACTTGAGTCCAAGCACACACATATATAATTATTTTTTCACTCACCAGTATTGAATAGCGCAAGGGCAATATTCAGGTAATAAATTTCCGTGACTGCGTCGTGTTAGTACAGCGAAAGGAAGGCATATTAAGGACGCACGTAGTGTTATCACCACAAAAGCCATTAAAAAGTATATAAACCAGTTTTTGAACTGTGGTACCATCAAATACTGTGACATCATGATAATTGCAACAACTTGCCTGATTATCTCCCATAATGGAGGTGACTATGGCTGAACCGAGCCCGGTCGTGACACTCACACTGATGCCGCCGATAGTGCTGCACACAGATATATACCAGAGCATGTTGTTCTTGCCATATCTAAAAAGGAAAAGATAAATAGAGGGAAAAGAAAGAGATAGCATGTGAAATGTGACTGACTTGGGTCCGAAGTAAAAAATAATAGAGAGGGCGATAATGATCAGGACAGACATGTACCCGAGGAAACCAGGCGCCAAGAAGAGTTTCTTAAATTGCTCTATCTCACCAGGTGTTTGCTCTTGTGGGCCTTATACACCAGAAATAAGCTTTGGTATATGATACACATTCGGTATACTGCTTACCGTTGAGAGCAATGATAGTGGAACCAATCTGGCAAACGTTGGTACATGAAAAGACAAGAGATTGGTGATGCTTACAATACAGAGGGCACAACCCAGCCATCCGAAAAAGGTAAGTTTCTCGTTGAGAAAGATGGAAGATAGGATGGCGCATATTACAACAGATAGTGCGCCCATAGGAGTCTTGGGACGTCATGGTGAAGGTATGACAGATAATGATTTGTCTCAGACGCACCACAATAAGTGCTTCAACAAACGCATATGCTTTGCAGGATCAGCATATAATAGAGTTAGAGTTCAAGTGACATACCAACAAAATTACACAACTCTCCACATATCATCACTTGGTGATTCGATGTTATGCACAGCGCAAGTAGCAGGACACGGGAACTCACTTGTCATTCCTGTCCACCATAATGGCTTTGAGAGCAAATGTCAATAACAGGCCGAGGGGTGGCGGGGATGGCTCACAGATTTGAGGTACGCGACACCTTCGCCTGCTGCATGCCCGGCCTGCGAGCGCATCAAGCCCTTTTTCTTGAAGACGAAACTGGAGCCAATCAACAAGCCACTCGTAACTGCGAGTATTATTCCGACGACCTGGGTTAATGAACTGAGGCTGGGCAGTAAAACCTAGAATGAACCGCCTACTTTAAGGCTCGAGGGTAATTGAAAGGTAGTGCTTGAACCAGAAGTAGTGGCGGGGGACGTCACAGACGACACTGAGGATGAAGGCATCGTTGTGGAGGACATGGTCGTGATGAAGCCCGCAGCAATTGGGGCTAGCAGTGTCGTTGTTATTCTGGAGTTGCGATGCACTCTCCGAGCCAAGCCCCGTCGGCCCGGACCAAAACCGGAGTGATGACGGAGTAACATACCATTTATGAATAATTAACCTCCGTACCGGAGGAATCCGGCAGATACTCCGACGGGTGTTGTAAAGAACCCAAAAAGGAAGGATTATGGGGAACGGAATAATATTAATATCGTTCTCGGGCAAACGCCTGTGCAAGGCTGTTGGGTAGTTTGAAAGTCCTGGGATCCAGCCCGTCCTGAACTGGGAGTCCTGTAATTAGTCTCGCCACGCTTTTTGGTGAGAAACCTGTCCTTAGTTTCTTTCTGATCTTCATCTTTGTTCTCTTTTGTCTTTCTAGCGACCCACTCTCAGGTTGACGCTAGGTCACCGTTTGCCAGCGTGCATCTTCCAGCTCTGGGAATCATCAAATACAGTGTCTGACTAGAAGCCGCTCTCATGGATGTCATTTACCTTCCTTCGAATGACCACGGGTCTGACACAGAGTTGATTCTTTCCGAACCATCATCTTTTCCAGAGCAGGATGCCACAATTCAATTCTCGCATCAACGTTTTGTACCCTCAGATTTTCTGAAACCAGAATCTGGGGACCACCCAGAGATCGCCCCCTTTCTTACTGAAGAGCCTGTGAGTCTTTCCACCCCCTCGTGATCCACCGCGTGCATCGGGCGCATCGTATCTTCTAAGGCTTGTCTTTGATGCTCTAGTGAACAAAATTAAATATTCCTTTCTTTATAGTTTACTTCACCAAGCCTTATCAAACGTTCCTTGGGTTTGAGCAAGGCGTCATTCTCATCCCTCACCTCTTCTCGGCAAGGAAGTTCCAGCAGCATCCTCTACCCCAACCGTGGAGGAGCCGAATCACAAATTGACTTCTATGGTCAGCCGCTTTCCGAATTCTCCTTGCGCGAGCAGGGCAGTTCGAGCGATCTCCGCAGAGGCAAAATGAAGAAGTTGACCGACATCCTCAAGAAGCGCAGCCGAGGAAGGCTCTCCTCAGACACAGGCTCGTCATCCCAGATAGCTTCAATTTCTTCGTGTGCCTCCGCTTCAACAGAAACTTTCATGAACCCCTTCGTTCCAATTCCCTCACCAGTACTCAAGAAAGACAAGAAGGAGAAAGGGCGACAACCAAAGGGACGACCACCTCCTAATCCACCAAGTCCTCCATTGTCCCCAGAAAAAGGTTACGAATTGATGAAGATCGACCTTGAGTCAATTGCGCACATGGAGGGTATCGTCAATCCATCCCTTTCCGGGCAGAATATTGCACCATCGAACGTTTCTCCATCAAGTACAGTCGACCCAAGCACTACCAGTACTTCTGGAAGTAGCTGTCAGCAGCCCCCATCACCCACACCCTCCACCTCCTTCGTGTTCAGCAACCCACATCCGTTTTCTTCTACTTCTCCTACCAGCAAGCGAAAAGCTTGCATCGATTTTCGAAAGCTATCTCCAAAGAGTTTACCCCCTTTAGTTGGACCAGAGGAGCTGGACATGTTTGGAGTGACTGCCTATGAAACACCTCTGTGGACCGCTCCAGATAGCTGGGCTGTCGAGAAGGACGGTGAGGAGGAGGCAGATGAAGGGGGCGACTCGAGCTCCGAAGAGAGCACGAGGGATGCCACATCGTCTTTCAATAGCTCGGGACTTGGTTCGAAACGTAAATCCCGTCGGAAAAGCAACCACCCGCGTAAGCTGTCCTCTCGCGGCAGCAGTGACCGCGTCCGCGTCCGAATATATCGCGCGGACGGATCATATCACGTTGCCCCAATCTCAATACACTCCACCGTTGCGGAGCTCACCCCGTCACTTAATCAGAAGCTATTTGCGCATAAGGAGCGTGAGACACATAAACTGTATCTCAAGGAGAGAGGACGAGGTACGTCTTACCGTTACGCTTGCTTGTGTTTCTCACTGTTGTTAGAGCGTGTATTGGCGCCTACTGAGAGGCCAGCTGCCATTGTCATTCGCCGGTTGGAGCAGGCTGGATACGACCAAGCGGACAGTCTTGCTTTTCTCGGTGCAGAAGACATGACCTTCCTCATGAAATTCGTTTATAAAAGTCAACTCCTCGGCCCAGCAGTAAGTTGTCCAGGAAAACATTATAATCCGACTTGACTCCTTGCTTTCAGGCTGAAGACCTTACATTTGATACATTCGACCTAGTCGACCTGACAGGCTGTAGTCTACCCACCATACCCATCGTCCTCCATCAAAACGCTGGCTCGATCGTGATCCTCAATCTCTCACGTAATCCAATGGTTGAGATACCCCTGGATTTTATACAGTCCTGCACTACCCTCCGCGATCTCAAATTGTCCAGCATGGCGATGAAGAAAGTGCCTCAGAGTGTTCGGCACTCCACCAGCCTACATCGCCTCGACCTGTCATGTAATCGCATCGTGGACTTGGATGATGCTGGTCTCGACCGTATACCTGAGCTCTCAAGTTTGAGGCTCCAGAATAACAGGATAGAGCAGCTGCCCTGGTATTTCCCCCGCCTCAAGTTTCTGAACTTCCTAAACATCTCAAACAACAAGTTCGTGAACGTGCCTAGCGTCATCTGCCAGCTGCCCTGTCTTGTTGAGCTCGATATGTCTTTTAACATGATCACTGAACTTCCGGAGGAAATTGGTCGCCTCACTACTCTCGAGCGCCTGATTTTGATTGGGAATCAGGTGGTCAAGTTACCGGAAGAATGCAGGAATCTTGTCAACCTACAGTTACTTGACTGTCGAAGAAATAACATATCCGACATTTCCATCGCCTATGCCCTACCCAAACTCCAAACTCTTTATGCCGACCATAATTCCGTTCACGCCCTTCATCTGTCCATTGGTCCCAACCTGACAGTTCTGGACGCCTCCCACAACGATGTCACATTCCTCAAATTTGCTCCTAGCTCTCCACCGCAAATATCGCACACCCTCACACTGCTCGATGTCTCCTATGCTAAACTTTCCTCTCTTGATGCATTCGATTTCTCTCAGCTTCCTGCCCTTCAAACTCTGAAACTTGACCACAATGAACTCCGCACGCTCCCAGACTCCCTTGGCGAACTCTCCCATCTCATACATCTTTCCTGTTGCGACAACAAACTCGTCTCTTTACCCTCCACTATCGGCCTCCTTCAGCGCCTAGAAACCCTTGATGCTCATAACAACAGCTTGACGGAGCTACCTGTATCCCTCTGGAATTGCGCATCGCTAATCCATATCAACGTTACCTCAAATCTGCTTGCTAGTTGGCATGATCCTCCTGGAGATAACTTGATTGCACCGGCGCCATCTGGAATAACTCTCGAGATCCCCTCATCATCATCATCAGTCGGCCACACTCCAAGAAAGCCCTCTAATGCTACATACACTATGTCAATACACAACGTACCTGGTCGACCACTCCCGCCCCTCGCTTACTCTCTCGAGCGACTCTCAATCGGAGAGAACCGTCTGACAGAGGAAGCAATCCCTCCGTTCACCATCCTCAAGGAGCTCCGTGTCCTCAACTTATCCTTCAATGAAATTCAAGAACTACCATCTTCCTTCCTTCGCAATCTACAGCAGCTGGAGGAACTGTACCTTAGTGGCAACCAGTTAACGAGTATCCCCACCGAAGACCTCGTGAAAATGACCAGATTGTCGGTATTGTTCTTGAACGGGAACAAATTCCAGACGCTCCCCGCTGAACTGGGCAAAATTCCCAGTCTGACTATCATTGACGCCGGCAGCAACCTGTTAAGGTACAACATTCATAATTGGGAGTTTGATTGGAACTGGTATGTTTCGACCATTTGAACGTAGATGACTAGTTTGCTCATGGTGCCGACAGGAATTTCAATTGTAACTTGAAGTACCTTAACTTGTCAGGGAACAAGAAACTGGATCTCAAGCAGAACAACGGTGGAAAGCGCGTGGTGGATGAACATGGAAGAGTGCTTTCCGACTTTTCTCGACTATCTCAGCTCCGTGTTCTCGGGTTGATGGATGTCATGACCACTTTCCTTCCCAATATTCCCGAAGACTCTGACGAACGACGTGTTCGTACTTCTCAGACGGAAGTTAACGGAATGACATATGGCATTGCTGACACCATTGGGAGGAATGGGTACCTAACCACGCTCGATCTCGTCCTGCCCGAATTCAGAGGGAAGAAGGATGAGGCACTGTTCGCAATGTTTGGGCTTACTAAAGCTCTTCCCGGCAACAATACTCTGTCGAAGTACCTGCACGACAATTACGCCTCTGTCTTTACTGAGCAGCTTCTTCAGCTGAAGAAAGACCAGAAAGGGGAGCGAAGAGATGGCGTACCGGATGCAATAAGGCGCACATTCCTGAAGCTGAACAGGCAGCTCCACGACAAGCTCTACTCGCAGCCATCTCGTAAGATGTCCCAAGTCAGCTCATCTACCACCGGTCCTTCTGGACCCGATTCTTCTTACCTCCGACAAGGAGCCTCGGGCATCGTGGTTTACGTGGTCGGCAAAACGCTGTATGTTGCTAACGTTGGACATGCCCTTGCTGTCATCTCGAGCCAAGGGAATGCAAAACTCATTTCTAAGAATCACGATCCTTATGACCGGGATGAGGCGAGGCGCATCCGGCTCGCAGAGGGCTGGATATCGCCGACGGGGCTCATCCATAACGAGGTTAACACGTCTCGAGCTTTTGGATATTTCCACGACTTTCCCGTTGTCAATGCTCGACCCGACATCTACGTTCGCCAGCTAACCGAGCTCGACGAGTTCGTGATCATCGGCAACCATGGACTGTGGCAGTATATATCCTACCAGACCGCAGTCGACATTGCTCGCTCGGAAGCTGACCCAATGATTGCGGCACAGAAGCTACGTGACTTTGCCATAAGCTATGGCGCGGATGGAAACACCATGATCATGGTAATATGCGTCTCCGACCTCTTCCGCTCTCGACAGCCCATAACAGACTCGCTCGTGGATCCAGAGGTCTACAGCTCTATCAATAAAAAGAGGGCAGGGAAGAAAGCAGATATCATTGATCGCACCATTGCTCGCTTAGAAGGAGAGGTTTCACCGCCCACCGGGCATCTCTGCTTAGTATTCACCGACATTCGAAATTCAACACAATTATGGGAGGCAAATGCAGGCATGCGCACAGCAATGTATATTCACAATGACCTGTTGCGACGACATCTTCGAACTTGCGGTGGTTACCTTGTCAAGACGGAAGGCGACGCATTCATGTGCTCCTTTCCGACCACCCTTGCCGCGATGTGGTGGTGCCTCATCGTTCAGCTGCACCTTCTCCACGAACGCTGGCCGCTGGAGATATTGGAGTGCCCTGAAGGTAAAGAGGTGTTTGATGAGCATGGACAGCTTCTTGCACGTGGCCTTTCAGTCCGCATGGGCGTCCACTGCGGTACTCCAGTGTACGAACCAGATCCTACCACTGGTCGCATGGACTACTTTGGGCCCATGGTCATTCGAGCCGCTCGTATCAGCGGGCTCGCGCTGGGTGGGCAAATCATGTGCAGTGCTGATGTCGTTCGCGAATTGAATGCCAAGATCTTCGAGAATGGCCAGGACACGGAGTACTCAGAGTTTCAACCAACTCAGGCCATCGAGGCGATCCGCCAAATGCAGATAGCTCTTGTCCCTGCCGGGGAAGTGAAGTTGAAGGGGCTAGAGATTCCGGAGATGGTTTCCCTCGTCTACCCAGCAGCCCTCTTAGGCCGTCAGGACTTAGATGCGTCTGGGTCGCATCTGAGCACATCCACATCCACAGCTCGAGTCCAGTTGAGCATCGCTCAAGTCAGAGACTTAGCTATGCTATGCCTGCGTATCGAGGCCCTGACTTCAGGCCGCATCTTTCGTCCTTGCTCCGAACAGAAGGAGTGCGTGTCTGACAATCCATTGGAGCCTCTCTCCGATGAAGACGTCTTGGAGCCTTCGGTGATGTATGGTGATCCGAACTTGCTTCTCCCCCCGATGAACGAGAAAACATCTGATCTTGAGATCATGATGCACCTCGACTCACTATCCTTGCGGCTTGAGAACGCTGTTGCGTGTCTGGCTCTCAAGAAACTATCTGACAAATCGTCCGCCATTGTGACAGCCCTAGAAGGCCATGAGGATATTGACGAACGGACGCTTCATTTAATAACTTCGTTGTTATCTCGCTGTTGACATTTTTATGGTGATTTCTATCTCTCTTTTTCACTCCTCAGCTGCATCACTTGTACTGCATTTGCATTCAAACACGTATATATTACTTGCACACCTTTGTTATGCATATTAATGGTCTGTACAATTTTTATACCAGTTCGTCTCTGCGCTATCAAGAGTGAATAACATTCATTCAGACATACAATTATTTGCTAATAACCTGGCGCTTGCAGACCTAGTCAGTGCACAAATTTCCAGACTAGGCATTAAATATGAGTGTTATTCCACAACGACCTCACTACGAAGTCAGCGGGATCAGGATTTTGGACAGTCGCAAGTTCTATATTGGATATGAATTGGACTGTAGCTGACTGTGAGTTATGCGACAACGATATGGGGCGATCAAGCTTACCAGTGCGGTCAATACCAGGAATGAGGTAGTAACCGTTTGAAGGAAGCCCAGTCGTGAGATCAAGGAAGTACCCAACCGTCCCTGAAGGGTGATCAAGCCACGTCCAAGCACCTACGCCGCCCTTGGCAGATAATGTGAACGTATAGTTGTCGCCTGCGATTACAGCGATCTGTGGGTCGACGAGGTTGGAGTAGGCGAGCGACACTGGAGTAAACTGATGTACAAAATAATTGTCAGCACTTGTTCGTACCAGAAATAGAAAGGACATACGTAGGACTCGCTGGTCACAAGTTTGTTATCCACAGTAGCGGTCACGTTCATCAGGAGCCAAACGTCCTTGGCGTTGCAACCGGAGGGCAGGATGGCATCAAGGCCGATTCCCTCGTAAATAAGCGAGTTGTTCAGAGTCGGGATGGAGAATGGCGTGGTCATCGAGCTGATAGCATTTCCACTCCAATCATACCATATCAATTGCGCGGTACCGTCAACCGTCTCCCAGCGGTCAGACGTAGCTAGTATGGTGAGCGATTCATTCCCTGGGAACCAGAAGGGGTTGATGATGACAGGGGAGTAGACAGTTGCCATGCCGTACTGAAGAACTTTCCATCTCCCAGAGTATTCAATGGCTGACCAGCTAACACCCTGCCAGATGTCGTTGAGTTGCCAAACCAAGCTTCCGAGGTTGTTCTCGCCTAAACCCGCACCACGTCTGTACCATGCGATCTCGGCAACCATATTCATGGACTGGAAAAGCTGGGTGCTCCAGCACCATTGGGCAAAGGTCTGGTTTGAGTCTGAAGTTCCAGGGGTGGGAAGCCAGAGCTCGACAGCACTGGTCATTTGGTACTGGCCTTGAGGCGCATTTGGGTTTGGCCACGAGAGATTGCCAGCAGGAGGATGATGGTCACGGGACATCACGACAGAGGAGTTGAATGCGTAGTCTTCGGGATTTTCGAGGACCTCCTTCCAGCTATAGAACGAGGGCATGGAGTGGAAACTGTAACAGCATTAGTGTAACTCCTTTCATCGACGACAGCTGCACACCCAAATTCATTGACAAAGCTGCAGTCCTCACTTCAGTCCGACGGTGTAAGAGGGTTGATGTTTGGACTTACCGACCCACAGGGTACGTTGTCAGATCGAAGGCCTCCGAGGCATTGTAGTTGTATCGCTCTGTGATGAAGGTATTAGAAAGCCACCCGATCAAGACTCACTAAGGACACACCAGTATTCCCATAGATATATCCCGGGGTGCCATTTGCAAAACGAAGGACATATGGATCGAGACTTAGAACACCGTGAGTTGTCGAACAGTCAGTGTACGGAACAGAGTTCGTCTCAGAAAGCACGATGTCATGCAAGTAATCCTGGAACATGTAAACGAACTGTGGAGCGAAAATCAGTCAGCCAGTTTGCTTTCCGCGGTAGATTGTGGACCTCATCCAGGTAATGCGTGCCATTAGCAAGGGAAGTGTTGGCTGCCATCACGATACCCTCGATTTCGTTGCCACCAGCCCACTGCACATTACTTGGGTGCCTATTAACCCTGCGAACGTTCTGACGCACTTCGGGCTCGATGGACTCCAGCAAGAAGTCGTTAACAGGATATAGTGAGTCAGAGAAGATGAGCTCCGACCACGCGAGTATACCGAGCTCGTCGCAAAGACTGTAGAAGGTATACAACCCTCCATCGGTCGCAGCATCAGATGGCTGATAAATGCCGCCACCCCAAACACGAAGCTAGGGAGCAAATCACCTTAAACTAGTCTCCCCATGACTATAAAAATTGTGTTACCATGTTTTGGCCACTCTTGATAGCACTCTCCAGGACCCAACGAACTGCATCAGGTTTGATGCGCGAGTAGAAGGGATCGAAAGGGATTATGTTCGTTCCTTTGCTGTAGAACGTCTTTCCATTGATAGCGAAATGCCATTGGTCACCAGGAGTAATACCTCGTGATGCAATCTCCTCTTCGGAGTAAGGAGTTTGCAATAGTTGAATGGTGCGGAAGCCAGTAGTGATAGTCTGAGTGATCGATTCAGCACTTGGCCCATCGCCCTGACTCGGAGATGGATCCAAAGTGACAGTTAGGTTGTAGAGCTTGGGGTTACCAAGATCAATTGGATACCATCTTTCAGGAGCATTGTCTGGGATAGACCAGTTGACACCCAGGTATATATTCTCATCAGCGTTGGCAGGAATAGGTCCGAGATTCAACGGCTCCGATATAAGCTTGAGTTCTGGGATGGATAGAGTGACAGTCGGCTTCTCGAACGATTTGATTGAGCGAATGCCAAACGTAACGTTGATAATCCAGTCTGCAGATTGATCAGGGGCAACAGATGAATTTTGGCCGTACTTGTAAATATCGAGAGAGGTTTCGTCCAAAAAGACGGAACTGCTCGTTATTACAGGGCATGGCGTAGAATTAGAAGCTGGAGATCGAAGTTCAGACTCAGAGAGTGTCACAAGGTAGGCCGGTTTGTAGACGCCGCTGGGAACGAAAGCTGGACCCTATTGATATTCAGAAAGTCGCATATATTGAAAAGAATAATGAGGCACACCCAGTCCCAGCCAAAGTCGTCATTGATCTTGCGGATCCACGCACGAACATTAGGATATTCAAACTGAATCAAGCATCAGAAGTGCCTTTAGAGATAAACTGCGCGCATACATTATCCGAAGTGGACACAATTGGAGTATTGGGAAAGTATTCGGCATCTGGTCGCATTGTCACATTCAGTCCGTAATACCATGCACTCTCGAGCGCGATCGTCAGGTTATTGTCCCCTCCAGTAGAAGAACTCAAGTAGTCTGAGACGTCATAGGTGTACCGCCGGAACTGGTTATTAACCCATGCCACGGGGTAGGCCGGCAAACGTCTAGATCATCTGCGTCAACGCACGAATAAATTTATATATGAACATCACCACAGACAATGTTAGCAATAGTGTCAATTCCATTGAAAACAAGGAGTGTCTTTCCGGACGCGTTACTCTGGTAAGTTTGGGTGAATGGAGTCAAGTCCGCGGTGTACGTCCAGTTGTCATTGATGACCCATCTTTCCGTGAACTCTGCGACGAATGAACAATCAAATGATTGATTGGCACGTCGCACAACGCACCGTTGATGCCGAGTAATGGATCATTGATGATACCAGCCTCAAAAAGATCAAGGTGAGCCTGTGAGGGCAAGTTGCCGGGCACGACAATAGAACCATTCTGGTTCTTGAGCGTCCACTGTAGCTCAGAGAGGTCAAAGACCTGTGCAACAGCCAGGGATGACGCAAGGAGCGTCCAAAGAGCAAAGCCCATCATGCACAGGGTTAGGATGCATCGAAATTTCATGGCTTTTATATAGTATCTAGATTCTAGAAGGACCGCGTGTGGACAATCATTAGTAAGAGAAGACTGCCCCGCACATACGGTGACGCATGTTTAATTAGGTGCCTAGTACCTACGTTATGATACCAGATCAACAAGAAGACATGGAGATGATGATGCATACGGTTTTCCCCATCGCCAAAAGGCCCGCAAAGGTGTGCTGATATTGTCCGCGGCCTCGTCTAATCATGTTGACAAGATATGCCGAACTGCGCTGATAGTGGACTTTCACGTCAAACACGCGCTCATACCGCTTCATACTGCTGAAACCTGGACTCCTTGCTGCAGTGAGCACTGTCGAGCCTGTCGGCTGGCTGAGAAATGAGACCGAGCCGATATGCTCTCCGTTGGGTATGACAACGCGGGGATGAAGCGTTAATGAAGACAGCGCGTACCGGGTAACCGTAGTGTAAGTGCACAAATCGGTCTGCAGCTAACTGACGCATAAATGCATGAGGCAAAATAAAGCTGGTGTCGGGGTCCTGGGTCCGGCGCGACTCGGGCCGTCACTCAGATAAGGATCAACTGATTTCGATCAATGATCACGGTGGCAAGTGCTTGCCTATAGTATAAGGCAGATATGCCAGGAGTCAGGACTCAGTACTCAGTACTCGGGTAGACCTGACTTCAAGTTGAATTCTTAGGCTGAAGCGCTGAAGTCTAACTGAAGTCATCGAATGGAGTTTATGGGGAGTCCGGCAAACCACACCTTGAACCTTGGTCACTACGATACTTCCACCGACAGTAAATTATTATTATTATTATTATTATGTGTCCAACCAGAAATCCTCGGGAGTCGGAATTCCGCCGGCGAGCCTTGGCGATAATGAGTCGCATTCCTGGATGGCCAAGTTGGAGCTGACTCGGAATGATTGATGCGGCTTAGAACAAGCTTAGAATATGCATTCACTGCAGAACCCTTCATCCCGTGACGCCCGTCAGCTCTACGATTATTCACATTCCTTGGATGTTTGACGGGCCTTTTCAAGACAAGTCACCTCTTGGACATCCATCGATCACCAATAACATGAAACTTCAAAGCGTGATTTGAAAACCAGCAGACATGGCATACTTTCAAGATGAGTACTAAGGATACAACTTGACTACTATTTCAATTTATTCACCGACATTCTCTACAAGCTCAAGGCCTGAGGAACAACTTCCACCCAGTAGCTAAGGGATCATAGTGAGCGAAACGACGTCAAGGACATCAGTAGAAAAACACACCCGTCGGGATCCAGGATGAAGGCAATGTGCCTCATCTTACCATCGGTGAGACGCTTCTTGAAGGGAACCCCGAGGCTTTCAAAACGCGCACATGCCTCCTCGATATTGTTCACGGTGATAGCAATGTGGCCAAAACCCCTGCCAGGTTCGGCATTGCCGTTGGCGTAGCCTTGGAAGTTTGGGTCGGACTCGGTGCCGTGGTTGTGAGTGAGCTCAAGGATGCCTGGTACATATGTGCAGGTGAGTTTATCAGATATGACGCCTAATAGGAGGTAAGTTTACCCTCGCGGTTGAAACGAGCCTTAGCCTTCTGCTCGGCTGGGAGCGAGGCGATCCCGTCGTGGTCAAAGGCGAGGAAGTAAAGGGTAAAGTCACCCATGTTTTGCTCTGTTGCATATATTCCGTGGTACGCTCATCAACACGAGGATTCGAAATCCATCTCACCAGAAACCAGGTCCATGCCGAGGGTCTGGAGAAGTAGTACTTAGTCAATCCAGCTGTACTACCACAGCAGCACAGCAGGATAGCTTACATCCATGTAGAAAGGTAACGATAGTTTCGGATCCTTGATACGAATCATGGTGTGGTTGAACTACGATTCATCGAGTTAGTTTTCATTCTACTAATAAAAGTTACATTTCCTCACCTTGAAGCTTTCTGTCGCAGCGGTGCGAGGCATGGTGGCTAGAGTAGTGGAGTGGAAAGTGCGTCGAAGAGTGGGAGCCCGTTTGGCTTGGAAGGCGTTCAGAAGAAAGCGGTTCAGACTCATCCAATAAGTAAATGCAAGAAAGGGGATCGTCTGACTAAGTCACAAGGCAGCGAGTTGGCCTATTTTTAATATATTTCGTCCCGCGGGGCGAACGAGGTCGGGAACTGGGATTCCGTCACTAAACTTGTCAATTGTTAATTTAGTCACCATCAGTAAATCAGGGCAGCTGCTTAGGGGTATATCAACAAGGTATCAGCGCTAACAGGGCTGCGAGGTAAATCTTGGGCTTGGTAGTTTCATTTGACCTACATCATAACAAACAAATGGTCTTGGGATCCGTTTGAAGCTAAGACACCCGCCTGTAGTAAGAAAGAAACGGAGTAAAGATCGATATAATTTATACTGTCCCTGATCGGGAGTGATAAATCTTCAATACGGTATAAAGGAATGATGTAACACGTCCGATTTTGATAAATAAAGAGTCCATCCGCCCTGCAGACTTTTAGCCGATCGCGGAGATGAAGGCCGGTTGGACACCAGCTCATGATCACCGCGAACGTTAATGAAGGAGTACTGAAAGAACATCAGTACTGATACACTGACATCGACGTAGCACCACATACCTCTATAAGATCTGGGCGAGCGCCTCTGACGAGGTTCATGTAGACAAGATTTGACTCAGAGAAGAATGGCCTCAGGCCAGCAGCTTCCAGCTTCTCCCACCACCCGAGGAACTTCGGGAACTCATTCCAAACACTGCCTGGGTACACGTGCACTTCAAGCTGAAGTTGGCCGAATGGGAGCGGTTCACCATGGAAAGAGTCGATGAAAGTTGACAACGAATCAAATTCGTTGCCCTCGATATCGACTTTGAGGATATCAATGAAATCGTGTCCATTCCTTTCCATGAGAGTACGAAGGGTGTACATTTTTGGATGGTCAGCTGCGTTGTGCTTGTCTTCATGGCCAAGTGCGTATGAGAAAAAGTGAGAGCGTGACTTGAGATCCCTGTCTTCTTCAATTTCGGGACCAAACTGCATGAATTACGTACGTCAATTCAAATAGATTAACGCTGAGCGAACAAACCTACAGAAGCGACACTGAAATCATAGCCATAAACCTGACAACCGGGCGCTGCCTTCATAAGATCCGCCTCGAAAGACGACTCGCCATTAATCCCTAATCAGCTATCAGTAATCACTATGATCCGATGCGCGGCAAATTATCGCACCGAAAGAATAGATGCTGCATTGTTGTTTGGGAGCTACACGTTCTAATCCACAAACCCATTTACCTCCATCACCCATAATCCCGACACGCTCGACGCGATGAGGGCATCTAAATGAGGGCAGAAAGAAGTCCCCTGCGAACAACCCATGAGCCCTAGCTCCACTGCCACGTGTTTCTACGAGCAGAATTACTCACAGAGCGTGTAAAACTCGCCGTGCGAAGGGAACCTACCAGTGATAGAATATCGATTGAATGTCGTCAGAGTCCCATGAGATAATTGCCAACTCACGGGTCAACCTTATCGGGTGTTGGTCCCCATTTTTTGATGAGTTGCTGTCGTCGCTGCACCATTTCTCCATAATAAATCTCTTCCAACGCGAGCGCCTCTGCAAGCGCGTTGTCCCTAGATTTGCTGAAGGCCACTGACCTAAGAGAGGGCGAGTCACTCGCAAACATGACTAACGAAATGAAAATTAATATGAGAAGAGCGACCGTAAATCGGGGGTGGCGTGCATAGAGTGCCATGGTGGTGTTGAAACCGAGAAACTTGAAGGAGCATTGCGAAATTCCGAGCTATATAGAATGTGCTGAGAATGTACAGCCACAGGTAGGTAATATATTACATGTTACTGCCAAGCCTCAGTTACCCTATCGCTGTCGCCTTCAATGAGCCCACGCTATCACCAGGCCTGGGGCCTTCAAGCTTCAAGTTGTGGTCAACCAGTTACACAACTTGGAGTACGCTCAACTTCCAAAATTCAAACACTGCCAGCATTAATGACACAGAACATAGACTCTTTGTACCCCGAGTCAGTCACTCATGACCAGGCCAGATCGCCAAGCCTCAGTACTCAGACTTTATCTATACTTAGATTTACGTCCAGTGAGAAAGTGGCCAACCAGAGCAAACCGACGCGTTCCTGGGCACCCTGCTGAAGTTGGCCGTCATCCGAACGTACTGCTAACCTCTAGTAAGAGAGGGCCATATTTTGTTGAACCTTCACGCCTGTATGGAATGGATGGTTGGCGAGAGCAGCGGAAGTAATAGTACTCACCTCATCCTACAAGAGTTTCTCTCGCAAAATGACAGGAACGATGCCAGTGACCAGTTGGTTGTGGGTTTGTGCCTCAGGCCCGGACGTGGACACTAAAAAATAGTGTTCCTGACTACAGTACTCGGCTTACTATCACACTCCAGAATGATTGACGCGTGTCGCCTAGTAAGAAACCGACTCCGGATCTTGAAGGTTCAGCGTTTCCTCCCAAGCCCGAGGAGCGCCCTTTTGCGTTCGAGTTGGCCACCATAAGACTAGACCGGCGTCGAAAGCGATGAAACATATATATAGTTATGCATCAAGGAACTCGGCAAGTGACCAATCACATGGTGTGGGAATAATGCGGTGGTTACCGAGCGGACTGTCTAAGCATACTACCTCTAAACACTGTCGAGGGAGCATAGCGAGCTCAAAGGAATCGAAACCCTCCAGCCAAACGTCGTAGCAAGTCGACGTCCAGCACAAAACTACGCTTACGGTATGTTTTAGCATCTCATTGTTCCAATTTGCGAGGTTTTCGTTGCTGGATCGGGTGGATTGACGATGTAGAAGGCGGATGCATGTATGATATTGGTGGAATATATGGGCTATATCTCAAACGACGAACATTATACTGATCTTTACTACTGTGTCCAGGCCCATCATGTCGTCAAAACTTCCCTCCGTCCTGAGCGCAACTGACGAGGAGATCCAGCTCCTCCTGGCAGCGCAATGTCACATTGGCACAAAAAATTGCGATAAGCAGATGGAGCCTTATGTCTGGAAGCGCCGCGTTGACGGTTAGTCCACTCTCAAAATCATGTTCTCGCCTCTCATGCACGAATTCTACTTGCGCTATCTTGAACTCTTGTGTGCACAGGCATCCACATTCTCAACATTGGCAAGACTTGGGAGAAGCTTGTCTTTGCCGCACGTGTGATCGCCGCTGTCGAGAACCCCAACGACGTTTGTGTCATCTCTGCTCGCCCCTACGGACACCGTGCAGTTCTCAAATTTGCTGCCAACACCGGCGCACAAGCCATTGCCGGCCGTTTCACCCCTGGTTCCTTCACGAACTACATCACCCGCTCTTTCAAAGAGCCCCGTCTTATCATCGTCACCGACCCTCGCGTTGACCACCAGGCGATTCGCGAGGCATCGTACGTTAACATCCCCGTCATTGCTCTTTGCGACACGGATGCACCCCTCAAGTTCGTTGACGTTGCCATCCCCACGAACAACAAGACTCGCCATTCTATTGGTTTGATTTGGTGGTTGCTCGCACGGGAGGTGTTGAGGCTTCGTGGGACGATCCCTCGCACTCCTGATGGCTGGAATGTGATGGTTGACATGTTCTTCTACCGTGACCCTGAAGAAGTGGAGAGGCAACAACAGGAGGAAGCACAGGCTAAGCTTGCCGCTGCCGAGCCAGAGGCCCAGGCTGGTGGTCTGTCGGAGTGGGACGTCCCATCCGCTCCTCAGCCAGGCTCGATCAACCCTGCTCTTGTCGCCCAAGACGGTGGTGAGTACAGGTGCCGCGCCGTGATATTACCTATATTTATCTATGTATTTCAGGTGCTCTCGACTGGGCAGCAGATGCTGCACCCACCACCGATTGGTCAGCGGAGCCTGCTTCAGGTGGATGGGGAGCGGAACCCACCACCACTAGCGGGTGGGATTAGGCGTCGTACACGATATAATTCTCGATGTGCATGCTTTGCTTCCTCTCCTTTTACATCTTTTGACATGCAAAATATGACATCATGGTCCCCCTCCCGTATGTGGTGTATATGTTCGCCATATTTCAAACACGAATTTCACCTCAATGCCTATGGTTTAATGGTAGCGATGAGTTTCCAGATGGCGTTCGGTACGTTTCGCGCCTTGCAAGGGTAAATCCATCTGCATTCAAACCCAAAAGGACCTGTATCTGCCATGAACAATCTTTGAGTGCTTCCACATACTTCCTCAAGCCACCTTTCAGTAATATTTTCTTTGGAACTTCAGAGCGATGGTTTACAGATGCTAGCTGATGGACTGCCCAAGAAAAATCAGAAGACTTTGTATCCTATAGGCGTCCTGAGTTTTATATTCAAATATCGTCAAAAAAAAAACCATTGAGCAAATCAAATTTGGCTACACAGCATACAAGTAAACCGTTATACAAATAGAAATCCATCAGACAGACGCTCTACTCGCTGGCTCCGGTCCACTAGACTGCAAGCAGTCGCGTGAAGGACAGAACCAAACGTCCTCGAAACCCCACGTAAACGCGAAGGCCATGTTCTCTGTCGAACGAGAGAGCGCGATTGTCATCGAGTGGATTTGAAGGATGTGGCATGTGTAAACATGCGAGACTCGAGTTAGTTTCTATAAAATAGATCCTAGCTGAGTATGTTCTAAGGATTCAATGTGTCGGGTGTAAGGTTTATATATCTTTTCGACCTGGCCCGTGCGCGACACTCCCACGGCTCCCTCATGATGGCAAGTTATACGATGACTTGACGTTGATATGGGCACTTCGCGTTCTGTTTTTATTATGATGCCCTTTGAACGAGGATAGCTATAACATCATCTGGCTGCTTGATTCTAGTCAACTTAGTATGGAGCATACAATTTGAAGTTGTTCGTGGTGCGATCATTTATCTCAACCACAGATCTGCACGATGGCTTATATAGTGTGACCTCATTGACAGCCTACAGATTACCGAGACTGTTCTTTTCCCCAACTGCACGCAGCGGGACCTCGGACATTTCGACCCCAGAATATCCTCCCCTCCGACACCATCCGAACAGGCACAGCGGCTGAGCGCTGAGTAACAAGCGCGGATGCTGGATAGCCTCGGAGGGTAGATGGAATCGAAATATTCTGCTCTTAGCATACTTACGTGGGCTGGTCCGACCCCCCGCTCCTCTCTGATTACTACGTGATGTATTGCTCCGATTAAATAAGTATTACCCACTTTCTGTTTGTCCGTTCAACCCGATCTTTCCGTTCCGCGATGTCATCATTACTTTCGGCAACGAATTATTTCGTCGTCGTGGCACCTCGTGGCACGGTTTAACGAAATGCCGGTGCCACTATGATAGACTATGATGCGCACGGCCGTCGGTGATTCCTCGCGTTGGGGACCTATCTCCTTTGTACACGATATACCGGTAAACAACTGAAAAGTTTTTTGATGCGGATATTTTTGCCACGTCCTGCTCAGTGCGGCCTGCCACGTGAATTAGTCTCCATAGGCAGAAGTTGTACGTTCCTTCGTTCTTGTGTTATGAATTCAGCACTTAAAAAAGTTTACCTTGATCACTGCTTCACTGTGGCTGAATATATTTCCCTGCTGAGCAGGTAGTCCTGGGTAATTTTGCCTAGCGGATCAGGCCAGTAGCGTTTAACCCCGGTCCACCCACCGAATGACAAGGAGGGCATAAAGACCATACGTTCTTTGACTGACATTGTACGTTTTTCAGGCAATGTTATGAGATGGGATTTGAACTGATCCACCAGTAATTCCGTGTAGAGTATTGTCATATATTTTACGCTATGAAGTCGCTGTTTCTGGATCCTCGTACATAAATCCTCGCATATTGTGTCGGCCGTCATCTTCTCTCGAAAACATCGGGAAACCAAATTGTGATAACCGAGGACCGCTTCCATGGTACAGACCCATACCGCAAGATCGCAATTGATGCCAATCGCATATATTAACTATCTGGCTTCCAACGCAACAACTTCTAAACCTAGTTCGATTTTGGTTTCACTCAGGCGGGCGGAAAAGCTATAAGAAGCCGTCACGATTACAATTCCCTAAGTCTCTCAAGCATCTCGTCATGCTATCTACCCTCGTTTTACCTCTTTTTGCCTTGTCCGTTGTAAGCGCGAACCCGTTTGCCGCCCATTCCAACACTGCCGCCCATTCCATTGCCGCTCGTTCTATTGCTGCGCGTTCCACCACACCCATCGCAGCAGCCTGGTACGCCGGATGGCACGCCACTGAAGGGTTTCCGCTCTCTTCAATTAGCTGGGAGAAGTACAACACACTATACTACTCATTTGCGTAAGTTGCCTGTCTCCGATAAACTTCGATGAGGCGATTCACGTGATCATGTTTTTTCTCTCTTAGAGAGACAACTCAGGATGTCACCAATCTGAGCTTGGTAGGCTCCGATGGCGAGTTGCTTCCTCAGTTCGTCTCTGAGGCCCATGCACATGTAAGCAAATAAGAATTTATCGCTCCTACAGTCAATGTCTAACCCATGCGCAGGGTGTTGAGGCCCATGTTGCTGTCGGAGGCTGGACTGGGAGTATTTGGTTCTCTTCCAACCTTGCCACTGCCAAAAATCGGACGGCATTTGTCCAGACTGTTGCAAAATTTGCTTCACAGTACAATCTCGACGGCATCCAGTTTGAGTAGGTTGATTCTTGTAACTCCGACACTATGTGCTGGCCCTGATTTTCAATAGCTGGGAGTACCCAAACCATCAGGGAATCGGCTGCAACACCCTTAGCGCGAATGACACGGCAAACTTCCTCGCATTCCTCCAAGAGCTTCGCCGAAACCCAGTAGCAGCAAAACTCACCCTCTCGGCTGCCGTGTCTCTCGTACCCTTCAATGATGCTACTGGAAATCCTTCTCCTGATGTCAGTGGGTTTGCGAAGGTACTCGATTACATCGCTGTGATGAATTACGACGTCTGGGGCTCTTGGCTCCAGAATGTGGGGCCCAACTCACCATTGAACGACACCTGCACTACATCCGCGCAACAACAGGGTTCTGGTGTTTCTGCAGTCAAGGCTTGGACGAATGCAGGGATGCCAGTCAACAAGATCGTGCTCGGCGTTCCTGCCTATGGTCACTCGTTCGCCGTCGCCCCCTCTGACGCCTTCGCACCTGGCAAGAAGGAACTAGTTGCATACCCCTCCTTCAACGCCTCGAACCAGCCCTTGGGCGATACATGGGATAACACTGGTTCTGTTGATGCCTGTGGCGTTTACGAGGGCCCAGGTGGCAGTTTCGACTTCTGGGGCCTCATTGACGGCGGTTTCCTTACCAAAGAAGGCAAGGTTGCTGGTGGCATCTACTACAGATACGACACCTGCAGTCAGACGGTAAATATATATATATATATATCCACCCTGAAGGAGGAGTGCTCAATTCATTACTTTTACAGCCGTATGTGTACAATGAGACCTCACAAATTATGGTCTCCTTCGACAATGTCGAATCGTATGCTGCCAAGGGCAAGTATATTAAGAACACCGGACTGCGCGGTTTCGCGATGTGGGAAGCTGGTGGTGATTATAACAACATGCTCCTCGACTCTATCATCAATGCTGCTCGGTGATAGATACGTCGCCGTTGTTTAAAGACCGAAACAACCCTACCGGCGAATCACACTCATTAGTGTATCATTATATTCTTTACATATTTTATTGCTATTAGGCTCGTTGCCAGGAAAAAGGGATAAAAGATTCCCTTCATTCACGGCGCCGCTGTATCATTGGCTGCGACGCTTTTATCCTCTCGTTTTTTTCAACCCTACAATGTTTATATAAGTAACTCGCTTGATCATAAATTAGTCCTTAAGTGAGTACCGAATCACATTCTGGAGGCAACTATTCACCCTCCGAATTTACGTGGAAATATAAAGAGGGTACGAGCATAAATCAAGCAAATCATTCGTCGTCAAGTCTTAGATAACAACAGACACGGGGCAAGTGGCTGAAAGGGATGCGCATAGTAGCATTGGGAAATAGATGTGACCATCGAAAGGACATTTCCAAATGAATACATTATAAATATCATTGCGAACAAAGCACAATCACTGAATCATTTTCTTTCCTGGAACGATTTCAGTAGCACACACCTTCAGGTTCCTGGCCCTCTTGGTCCTTTTTAGTAAACTTTCCAGACACCGAAAATTTTTGTATGACGTGTCTTCAGCTTCCGAAGTTGGTACGAAACGTATAAAGCACGAACGAATTCTTGAACGAATGAAGGTGGAGGATATCGAGCTCGTAGACTCGTAGTGGTGCTAAGCGTAGACGCCCTTGTTGCGTGTGGGGGCTTCAAGGTCTCATAATCTCTTGACACCTCCACGCACATTAATAGAGCGGAGCAGGTGCGTGAAGGGGGTTGGCTGGAGATGTCTCTTAGTCAATTTGTCAAAGATAGACCCATACTTGGACAGTCTGACTAGGAGATCATTCACCTCGAGCTGCGGATGCGAACATACTAGTAGCGCAACTAGGGTATCGGACTGGCCATTGTCTCAGGCAGGCATCTGTGACTGTGCATTGATGATGAGTCGTGACGGTGATAATCAATCATTAATGCATTAGGCCTGGTCAATGATAACAATCAATTTGAAAAGCAACTTATCGTCGGGCCGTAGACGACATGTTTTCAAACTCCGTCGTAAAACGCGTTGACCATATACGAACGCGTCTCCACGTGACTCATACGCTCTTGACTGTTTACCGCCATGTCCTCCGCATATAAGTGGTCGGTCTCTCCTCCTCCCAGCCTCCCAGCAAAGCTTCGGAGGAAAAGTTCCTCAGCCTCTATCAATGCGCCTTCTTTATGCGAGCCGGATGACAATGGTCTAGATTCTCCGTCACCCGTGACATCTCCGTTACCCTCGTCATCACCACTTTCGACGCCGATACGCTCATCCCCTCCAAAGTACATCGCCACTCGTTATTCGCATTCGCGTTCACAATTTCAAATTCATATGAAGAATCTCACCTGGAGTTTGATGATGCGCCAGGTTCACCAACGCCTTTCTACCATCGGAGTCGCACTTCCAAGTATATGACACACCAGCAGGTGTCCGACAAGTACGGAAGTTATCCAGACAGTGATGATGAGATGGTGGATTCCGAGCCTTATCGTGGCGATGACTTACTCGCTTGGCTTGGCCCGCCTTATCCGGCACGTGATGTACCGGAAGACGTTGGGTGCGACCCCGAAAGCATGGATATTCATCTGCGCCGGACATTCTTTGCTACATCCTCCGAACGTGGTCGCTGGCTGAGCAGTCCAGTCATACCTCGAACGTACAATGCCAAGTCGTTTACGTCCAGTCCAATACGCCCCCACAGGGGGCATTCAACCCCTGTGAAAAGCAATACTCGAGACGTGAAGTCCCCTTTGTTGGAATTCCGTGATTTTGTCCGAAGGCAATCGACGAGTGGAGTAAAGGATGATCCGTCAAGCTCCCCATTTCTTGCAGCCAGCGACAGCAATGATATCGAGGACTATCGTAGTCTTTCGCCCCTTCCTCCGTCATCTCCACCTACGTCCCCGATGTCACTGGCACCGTCGCAGCCGGACGATTGTGCATTAATCGATGATGATATTGTCCTCGACGACGATTGCAATTCAGATGACGTGAGTTCTTTAATTCCGGTATCTCAATCCGTTTCCTTGCGATTGAATATGTGTATGCGTGCTGTGTAGTTGGATCCCAAGCAGCAAAACAGCCATTCAGCAAACATCACGCCACGTGACGTTCCTACCTCCGACTCCGAGGGTCCCTTACTATTAGCCTCGGAACATGCGTCAAACGCAGCCTCAATCGCGTGCCCCTCTTCCTGTACGAACGAGGCAACCCATCAGCCTCTTAAACTTTCCCTCACTGTGCCTGCCCACATTAACACTATTACCCCGACTTCCACCACTGAGATCGAGCCTTCGCGATCGTATCCGCATTCGCCTACAAACACGCTACTAGGGCTTAGTGCATACACTAATATTCCGTCCGCCATCACTCACCCACCTCACTTGAGTGAAGAAGAAATGGGGCTTGCAGCCAGAAATACGACATCTACTGGTGTGGTCGACGCACAAGTCGATCAATGCGACAACGCTACTTCGCAGTCTATGCAAATTCGCGTTTCGAGTGTCGCTGTAGTATCAACAGGCATGAATCCGGTTGACCCACTCCTTACCACCTCTACCGTCATCCCACATTCTCCTTTGAAGACGGTGAAGAAGCCACGACTGAGTTTTAGTGACGAGGAGTTCGTGCAGGGGAGCAGCGTGTCACAGCCGCAGCCTCAGACTGCACGTAGGAGCAGCATGTCGTGTCCCAATTCTCCAGACAAAGGCGTCGGTTTGACGAAAGAGCCATCAAGGCCCCAGCCTGAGCCCAAGCTAAAACAAGGACTGAAGCGGGAGGACTCCGTTTCATCTGTTGCGCCTGCACAGAAGAAGCCTCGGCTTTCAGAGGATGTGGACCGTGATACGGACCAGGGACCCAGGCGCAAACAACGACAGCATAAAACTTCCTCGAGTGCGAAGGAGAAAATTACAGTTGGCAAATCACGGTCACGATCCCGCTCGTGTCTCAAATCAAAACCTTCTGAAGAGGATTTGCGCACACAAGTTACTCGCATTTGTGACGAGCCTCAATCACACAATGGTTCCGAGCTTTCCACGACGAAGGCCGAAAATTCCTCCACTGCGCCGGCACTCCTTGATCCAGAGCAAGTTGAGCTTACAGGCATGCTTGTAGAGGCTCTCACCACATCGCGTGCCTCGTCTATGGACCCGCTTGCTCTTCACACTGTCATTACAAAAATGCACCCTCATCTCAAAACAAAACACAATAAAAAAGAGTGGCTTAACATCATTCCAGCCATGCTTGAAGCGGGGCGCGAGCGATGCGGAATGTTCGAAAAGGTTCAAAGTAGTGGGACGGACGGGGCAAAGCAGGCCAGGTGGTTCTATGTCTCTGAGAAGGACGAAGACCGTGAGCGTGCGGAGCTACTGGAGGAGCTTATGCCAAAGCAGAAAAGGAACGAGACGAAGAAGTTCAAGCATTATTATTATCCCCCACTGCAGAAGGTTTCGAGGTGGGACTCAGAAGATGCGATTTGACATGCTCTACTTGGGGAGTGGTTTCTTAAATCTTTGCGCGACACTTTCGATCTCCAGCGTTTGATCTGGACCCTCGTGGTTACTGATCTTTTTACCTCAGTTTGTTGATGTTCAGACCTCCCCTCCTATTAGTGCCCTCGATCGCGGTTTTTTTGTCGCATTATGACTGTAGCCCCACCACTTATCTACGATGACGAAGAAACACTAATTTGTTTCTTGAGATCAGTCCCCTGGCCTAGACTCGAAGTCTAAGATAAAAAAAAGGGCAGTGCGAGCCTATGCGAGGTCCTAGTTTGCCTTGAATTCAATTGAAAATTCGGACACCGCTTTTAGTCGCGTAATTGAGTTGGGCACGTGTTATGCTTTTGTCGCGTCGTCTGAGTAAACTGGGGTCATTAATATCGCACCCGCGTGAAAGCCACCGTCTAACGGTTTGCGCTGCTTTGTGCTTGAACTTGATCCTTTTGCGCAAAAAAACTCGTTTCCGTGGAATTCTCTTTTCCTATCTTTCTCCTTCTAACGACGACGACGGCCAAAGCATCATCAAAGCGCGTCCGCTTACGCACGTTTCCTTGGTTTTCCGCTTCTAATTCGAGGACTTTGTTGGTTTTTATCGCTTGTAGCCCTTTGTTGCTGTGGGTGCTCAGACGAGTGAAGCAATTCTTCAAAGATACCACTCACAGGAAACTCATTGACAGCCTATATAAACTTGCTTTTCGAACCTACCTTCTCAAACACCCCTCACTCAACACGTAAATCGAAGAGCAAACAGTCTCACTAGACATCATGATCCAATCATCACCTGCAGAGATCCCTAACGAATTGATGCCCCTCGATGATTCTATGGTCGAAGAGAACGCAACAAGCTACCCAATCCACCCAGCACGCGTCTCAACCGAATTCTGCAAATACCAATAGCCATCTGTGGGGCTACCTTCAGCCATGCAGCAACTTGCTTCGCCGCCTCGATCTTTGGAAAGTTCAGCCCGCAGCTTCAGTAGGAAGGGCTCCCGACAATGATATCATTCTCCCTGGGAGCAAAGTCAGTGAGTGTCTAGCGTGGCTTAGTGGCGCTTTCTAGCGCGTTCGATGCTGCATATTGACGCGTCGTGTTGTAGGCAATAAGCACTGCCGAATCACCTGGGATGGAAAGGAGGACAAAAACTCTGCAGTGACTGTTCTCGACACCTCCAGCAATGGTACTTGGGTACGCATCAGTAACGTAGCCTAATGATCACTGTTTGATGGTAAGATTTGCAGATTAACGGTGTCAAGATTGGAAAGGACAAAACCGCAGTCCTCAAGGAAGGCAATGAGATTGCTTTCGGTTCTCCCCATGCCCAACCCGGGGACCTTGAAGACTATCGTTAGTTATTTACATTCGTGTTGATCTTTCGCTTATCGACGCATTTTTCAGGATTCATTTACCGGCACACCGCCGCCGGTCCCCCGCAGGGCGGCCTTCATGCTCAATATGACATCAGCCACGAGATCGGCAAGGGGTCATTTGCAACTGTCATGAAGGCTGTGTCGCGTGCAACGGGTCAGTGGTATGCCATCAAGATCATCCAAGACCATAAGGTCAAGCGCGCCACTGCCAACAACAATGAAACGTCATTTGCGCGAGAGATCAGTATTTTGGAACGGCTCCATCATCGGAATATCTGCCAGATGAAGGAAGCCTTTTTTGAAGACAATAGTATCAGTGCGTATAATTGGCATACCCTACTAATCTAGGCTGATCAATTGTGTAGATCTCGTTCTCGAATTTGTCGATGGAGGAGATTTACTTGATTACATATTAAGAGAGGGCGGCCTTAGTATGTTATTCGGTTTGTCGACGCTTGGTGATTCTCAGGGTTATTTTCAGAGGAGCCGCTGGCTGTCCACATAATCGCGCAAGTTTGCGATGCCCTTGCAGTGAGTCAACTCGCTATGTGATACCGTAAATCCCCTGACCTCTGTCTTCCGTTCAAAGTACATCCATAGCAAGGGGATCGCGCACCGTGACCTGAAGCCCGAGGTAATGGATTTCCCTTGAAGCGGTTGATTCCATTATGAATGTCGGCTATTTAGAACGTGCTGCTAACTACGGAAAATCCCCCCACCGTCAAAGTTGCCGACTTCGGTCTCGCCAAGGTTGTCGATAGCGTCACTTTCCTCAGAGTCAGTAATCCCATTTTTGGTACCCTAACATATCACTGATGGGCCTATGCCCCGCAGACTATGTGCGGCACACCCGCATATCTCGCCCCCGAAGTTGTGACTCAGCAAAACCAGGAAGGCTATGATCACCTTGTTGACAGTTGGAGCGTTGGGGTGATCGTATTTTGCATGTTAGCATGAGACCTGCGTATACCATGCCCTTGTTTGCTGAACTGGAGGTGTTTTTCACAGGTTTACATTGTCAAGCCCCTTCATCGAAGACGAGAATCAGCGTGATCTCAAGGTCAGGATCGCAGGACGCACGATTCAGTGGAGCACTTTAGATAATGTAGATGTTTCTCCGCTGGGTATGCTTTCCCTACCAATTTTTGCAACACGCTGATTTACGGGTGTGCGATCGAATAGCAAGGAACTTCATTGAGAGGTTGCTCGAGCATGACCCTCGGGATCGTATGTCTCTGAGCGCAGCCTGCACTCACCCATGGCTTGCCGACGTTCCAACACTCTCCCATCTTCAGCCTCGCGCTATTACCGATTCCTCCGTCGCATCTATCCAAGATGGTGCTTCCTGCGTCTCCTCGCTCGACGAAGATGCAGAGATGACTGATGGCTCAAGCGAACCCACGGTAACCGAGGGTCTCAACAAACTCCATCTGCGCCAACAATCTGCCCGTGCGCCCCTCAATCAAGAAATCACAAATGGCGTGCGAAATGGGAAGCGCAAGTTGGACCCACAAAGCCCTCTACCGGATATAGACATCGAGAATGGGAATCTGAAAAAGCCACGGCGGGTACCGGAAGCGAATGGCCCCACTACGCGCACCAGAGCCGCAAAGGGACGGGGGCGTGGAGGTGCTTCGTCGCCACTGGCGCGGTTGCAGGAAGCAGCAGTTGGGATGGTCGTGGAGGAGGAGCATCTAGAGGACGACGAGGACGTGGAGGAAGCTACCGGTGCTGTATCACACGCTCCACCGAGAAAATCTGCTCGCGTGTCTCCCAAAAGGGGAGGACGCCGGGGGTAAGAAGGTGAATGTGTGTAATATCTTATGCTTGGTTTATTGGTTTCCTCTCGTCCCATTTGTATTGCCAGCGCTTATCCCTTGTCCCCCCACTCGCTATGTAACCTCAGTAACTCACATTCGTTAATTTACTGCTATATTCTATCGATACTCATTCATTTGCTATGAGAATGCTATTAAAAGTTGTCCATTTTCCGTTTAATCGTCGAGTCCTCAGATGTTCTAGAATCAATATACAGCAAGTGTAACACTGCTATGAAGTGCCCATGTGAAGCACGCCGTGATACATGATAACCACGGGCCATCAAACCAAAATAAACGCGTGGCTGTAGCTTATTGTCCTCCCTTGATAGCATGACGAGAATTTGGGACGTACAAAAGTGATAAATGGTGGGCCACTTCAATACTTGAATATCTAAACCGAGCGTAACAGCAGACCACACATGTCCGTAAAAAACGTGCTGTGGATGATAGACGATAATGTTATGAGCGAGTTCATTAATATTGTCGAGGATGGCGAGGGCGAAGCAAAGATAGGTTCCAAACACGACGACAAGAAACGGTTCCGAAAGCGTTGCGAGAATGGTCAGTGAGTCTGCCAAAGACCTCACTGTTGGCACCGCACATGAGAAAGTAGTAGTCATACGTGTCGCATGAAGGGTACCTGCTTCCATGGGCCGAGTCAAAATACCGCGCATCTTCAAATGTAGGTTATCGTGTCTTTATCCAAAGATACCCCAAAGTGAACCAAAGTACCCCCAGTGCGTCATGATGCCAGTAGTATTTGCAGACCAGTCAATAGGACCTAGTAAGTTGAGTTGTCTCTGCAACTCGATAGCGACGGCCCCGAGCAGTGCCTGCGATATTTTAGACCCTGAAGACGCTAATAGCAATGAGCGTTGTAATTGGCATGGGGCATAAGGATCTTACGACGCGGAAAGGCAGCCACTTACACATCTATGGTGGCGTCTTGAGCCTCTTAAAGACCTTTCAAACAGAGATTCCTTAAAGAACTCTAGTCACTTGAGATGATAATGAAAAACTGAATGACATACCTTGCTAAGGAGTACTTCAGCTTTTCTGCTGGTGCGATCGCGTCCACGACAGACATACTACTTGCTGAGAAGTCCGAATCTCCGAGTCCAACTTAGTCCTCCTCAAGAAATCGCCAATACCGTTTAACACGTAACGCATTTTGATTATCAGAAGTTGTTCAGAAATCCTGCTGATACTGAGTTTGATTAACACTGCCCATGACCAGGGTTAGCCAAGCAAGTTGGTCCAATATCATTCTGATGTGCTGGGCGGATCGCAGTAGCGGCGAACCCATCTTTGGTCTGTCCTTTAGTAGAATTCATCTTATTCTGATGCACCTTACTGGCACAATGTTCTTGAGGCTCGGAGGAATGATGGTATTGCCGTAGGTCGCATGATGGCTGCGTGAGCGAAAGCGCCCGGCACCGCCTGTAGCGGTAGAACCGCAGATAGATAGCAAAACAATAGCAAAAAGAAGTTACGACGTTACTTGTGTAAACTGCTTTTGGGATGCACCATGTGTTCAGGATGGACTTACTATTTGATAACATAACCGTACGTAAGTGCCGTTCAGACTAATCGGATAACAACGTCCACTGCTCTTCAAATTACCCTTGCCACCATGATCAATTCAACTTGTTCAAGTCGAAGCCGTTCACCCTACCATGTTCTTTTCCTCAAGCTCCAGGCCGTACAGACCATTGAGTCTGACACCACAAGAAGTCATCGACTCTGAGAATGATGACGACCACAAAGCAAAGCTGCATAAGACTTCGCGAGCTGTGCTCCATTGGCCTCTTGTCGTCGTAATCCTCTGCACCTTCATCAATCTGTTGCTGGTCTCTACCCCTGCTTTTCTCCAAGGCTCTTCAGTGTCTCCAGACGAACTCATCACTCGAAAGAATGTCCACCTTCTTCGTCGTCCTTCTCAATATATACGATTTGACGAGATTGAACGGACGTCGCCTCCTATTCTGAGAGAGTTCACAAATTTCCCCATGTCTGTTAGTTTGGTGGATCATTCTGCGCCAAGTCATGTTTTCAATGACTATCTTGCGATGCGCACGACACGTACTGGCACAATCTCACCTGATGACCGCAAAGTACATGTTACACAAACTGTCGGTTTATCTTCTATTTTTATGTGTTCTATAGACTGATGGAACAGAAGGTTTCAACGATATTTCAATTCAGGGCGATTGACTGGGGCATGGAAATTTGCGAATTGCACGTTGCACTTCCGCCTGTGGACCGATCAACTACACTTGAATTATACCGTCTTAATGCCACTGTACCGGTTGATATTTCAACCCTGTCGTTTAACGTCCGACCGCCGCGAGTCGCGAAACTTGGTAACATAATGCCAGGGAAAGACAGCTTGGACTGGCACAGAAAACTTTCTTGTGCGATGGACGACGTCCTTGTTTTTGAGTTAGCATGTTCGGAGGACGAACCAAGCGGTAGCTGCGATATACGATGGTGGCAGTCTCACGAGAAGACTGCACCTGGTCAGTACTTCATTACTCTCCATGAGATTCGCTGACAGCATAACTGGACCTCTAGCTGTTTATATGATCCAGCGCTCTACTGCATAATTTTCCTCGGATTTTGGACATCGAGACGAACCATTTGGTTTATTTAACAGGTTTCGGCATCCGGTTACAATCCTATGCAATTCCACTTGCTATCAGTCATCTTACTCGTGTACTATCCCTTGCGGTGCAATCGGCACCCCACAGAGGTCGGCAGTCACGCAGACGTCACTGTAAGTCATATCATGCGTTTCATAAGTCATCTCAGCAGTCAAGCAAGAGCGCAAGTTCAGTTAGTATTCGGCGTGACTGAGCAAATACAGCATTTACTAGTAGACATGTTTAAGTACGAGGCTGACCATTAGTGCTGTAGTTGTAAAACTGAGGCGATGTATAGCGAGACCATGTATATTATATGGATGAGGTTATCTATGCAAGTTCGATGATGATTAGCCCCAATTGCAATTATCAGCCTGAATGCATGATGTATTTATGTAGGGTCGGACGAACCTTGCAGCTTTCCTCGTCTAACGTTGCTGGACAGTCTGGAATTTAGCTTTTCTCAAACTCTAGCACAAAAATCGCAATATGATCGGTGTCAATATTGAACTTGTCAACAACTGCCCTGGGATACCCTCTGTCAAAAACTTGTCCAAAACTTGGTGGGGAGTTTTTCACGGAATACCAGCTTCGACATGGACTCAACTCTTTATCCGTCTTACCAAACGACATTCCAAGTGCAACACATGGCTGTATATTCTGTAAAATGCCTCATACCTTCGTTGTCGCAAAATTGATACCCGAGTAACATGATAACAAACCTGTGTCAACTCATCATGTGTTGATCTCTTCCATTCATTCTGCCAGAACGTAACCTTGCTCCTGGATTCTCAGGCGGTCACTTATTCTCTTCAAAGCCACTCATTAAGTACACTAGAAGTACTCATGGTTCTTATCGATCGTCACTGCATCAGCGGCCACTGTGGTCTCAACATTGCAAATGGACTAATGGGCGTCTTTCTTTGGTCTAAAGTTGCGGTGCTGCTGAGCGCCTAGGCTTACATTTTCCACCCCCAGATGATGGAACCCCTTCACTGTCACTGTTTTTCAGGCTATTCAAGCAATATCTCAAGCTTCAGGTCATTTGGATCATCGATCATCTACAATAGGCGCCAATGCAGGGTCTCAGCGTTACAAATAGGCCAATGGGCATATGACGCTATCGGAGTAGCCGCCAGTCTTATCGAACATCTACAATATGATATAGGCACCAATGCAGGGTCTCAGCGTTACAAGTAGGCTAACGGGCGCAACTTCTCGGGCGGTTATTCTCTTCAAGGTCACTCATTGGATAAGTACTCATTAAAATTATCTAGTTCTAACGCGCATACTGCATGTGCTTCATATTAGTCCTTATCGATCAACGCAAGGTCACTCATTGGATAAGTACTCACTAAAATTATCTAGTTCTAACGCGCATACTGCATGTGCTTCATATTAGTCCTTATCGATCAACGATGTGTCCGTGCATTACGATTTCAATGTTGCAAATAGACTGATGAGCGCCTTTCCTTTGTTCAAAGTCACAGTGCTGCTGAGCGCCTAGGCTTACATTTTCCACCTCCCCATATCATGGATCCCCTTACTATCACCGTCAGCGGTATCGCTATTTTTCAGGCCATTCAAGCAATAGTGGAAGCTGCAGCTCTTCTGCGTAATTATATTATTCGTGTGAAGAACGCTGACTCGTCCTATCGGAGTTTGCTGCATGAGTTCGATTCAATCCTTGGAGTCCTGACCACGGTCATGATGATCGAGAAAGATACCTCTCTTTCAGACGATCTCCAGTCTTCACTTTCGCGACTGATATCCGAAGATGGGCCAGTGACGAAGTTGAAGAAGGAACTGAAGAAACTTCAACTAAATGAGGAGGAGAGGAAGAACATGCGCGCCATATCCCAACTTTTTTGGCCATTCAGGGAAAAAGAAGCAGAACGGATTGCTGAGAAATTGAGAGGCTATTATCGCGACATCACAATAATTCTAACAATAGACTCGCGGTGAGTTGACTCGCTCGTGATGATTGCTAATACTAACGCAGTGCCAGGAAAATCCTCAAGGACGTCGATCAAACAGTCAAGGAATTAAAGATGACGCAAGAAGCGCACAAGAAAGGTAAACGGCTTACCGTCAGCTACTTTCTCATCTCATTCAATGTGTATAGATGAGGAACGTCGGAAGTTCCTTAAATGGATGAACCCTGGGTCTTGTATTGAGAAGCACAATGCCTCTTCTCGTCAACGCAACCCCAAGATCGGTCATTGGATTTTCGACGCCAAAGAGTATAAGGACTGGAATAATTCGGATTACGCGTTTCTATGGTTGAATGGCCAGCGTGAGTTGTATCATTCACCATTATATGCAGGTCGTTGACACTCGCAACAGCTGGACATGGAAAGACAATCCTAGCGTGGGTTCAGACTCATCTGAAGAGTTGTTAGAGAGCTCCAATTAACTTCTGAACAGTTCTTCCATTATCAACAAAATTCGGGATAGCGGTAAAAAAGAGCCACAGACGCTCAGTTACTTCTATTGCAATTTTCAAGACGACAGGACAACAAACGCGGCTGCAGTATTCCGCTCCTTGATTGTTCAGCTACTTCAACAATCTGAGCGCGACTGGATCACACAGATAGACAAGCAGCAAGAATCGAAACCAAAAGGGGGCCTTGTTTCTCTGCGAAAACTCTGGCAGCAAAACTATGATGCAAAGCCTCATCCCACAGATCTGGAGTTGCTACGAAAGCTTCTTGTTGAAGCGTCTGCACTAGTTTATCGACCGGTCCTCGTGATTGACGCCTTGGACGAATGCAAGGACTACCCCGACCTGATCAGACATCTTGAAAAACTTCCTGAAGATGCTCGACTACGGCTTTTCGTCACCAGTAGAAGCATGCCAGACGTCCAAGACGCCTTTCATGACCTCTTCAAATTGTCGCTGAAGGACAACGCAGGACAAATGGAAGACATGCGCATGCACATTAAGGGGCAGCTAGAGAATCAGAAGCATTTGTCACAGCTATCCGACGCGCTGAAGAAGACAATTTTGAAGAAATTGTTGGAAAAGGCCGAGGGCATGTGAGTAAAGCAAATTCCGCTCTCTCCTTGGAAATTGATCATATGATTGCATGCAGGTTTCGCTGGGTTCAGTGTCAACTGGACGAAATCGTGGCTTACAACAAACTTGTCGATATTGAGGCAACCCTCGATAACGTTCCAGCTGGACTTTACGAGACGTATGATAGGATTATTCAGGCTATCAAACAGAGAGGGCCAAGGGATGACCAAATTGCTCACAGTTGTTTGCTTTGGCTGGCCGGCGTGTTCACCCCGTTGACACTTGATCAGCTCAAGGAAGCGATGATGATTGAAGTCGGACAATCAGAGCTTAATCCGGACCTTGGCGTTATGAACCCTATGGATATCTTGGCTGCATGCGGAAGCCTCGTGGACTACAATGAGAAAACTAGGGTCGTTACTCTATTTCATAATAGTGTCAAAGTATGATGTATCAACCTTTTTCATACTGCTCGCCGGCTGATGCGCCTTGCAACCAGGAATACTTGATCACCCGCCCTAATAGCATCTTCAAATCGATCTCAGACATGCACACACGGATCTGCAAGCTCTTGATTACGTATGTGTTATACGACTTTGTCTTTGTGGATGAGATATGTGCAAAAGGTGTGATACTATCTTTTACGTATATGAGCTAAGAGACTAATGTTTGGATATGTGAACATCCAGCTATACGACGCCGTTCACAATCGTCACCTCGTGACGGTGTCAGCGAAGACCATCCGTTGCTGAGCTATGCAATTCAAGGATGGAAGCACCTTAGTCATGTTTCGGATGAAGATCCTGGCGTTATGACCGCCCTATCACGACTGAACTCAAAGTTTCTTCGAAACAATGAGAAACATCCTGTGCTTGCTCCAGGCGAATTTGAGTATAAACCTAGGGGATTAGATGTCGCTGTAACTTCGCCCTCACTTCTATTCATCCTGCTTGAGCATGGCAAGCCGTGGATGGTCGAACCTTTCGTCGAGCAGTGCCCACATCTACTGCACATGAATATTGCCCCTGATTGGGGTTCTCCCTTGATTTTCGTCATAGCCAAGAACCCTGACTGCCTCAGTATTCTCCTGAAGTTCGGCGTCGATCTCAAGAAGTCTTCTTCGTTCAAACCTGGTTTATATGGCCAATATACTTGTAGCAGCTCCCATACGCCAATTTCGTGGGCAGCTGTGACTGGAAGCGAAGTCGCCGTGGATTTCTTGCTGTCACGGACGGAGGTCAAGCTACCTGACGATATTATGTACATGGCTGTGAAGGTGGACAAACCGTCGCACGAATCTATCCGCAAATTTCGTGAACGCGGTGCGAATGTCGATTTCAAAGTCAATGGTTCTACCCCTATTCATCATTTCCTCTCCACACATGGGTCATCCAATGACGAAAGCCAATTGCTACCCGTCGTAAAAGCGCTCGTTGAACCGTCTTGTAATCTTTCTTTGCAGGACCGGACTGCTAGAACAGTGCTACACATTGCTCTTGATGCGCGTCTGGAAAAGATTGTCGCATACCTTCTCCAGCAAAACGCAGGACTGTCAGCAACGGCGGCTCTCGATCCAGACATGTGGAGATGGGCTACGAATAAGACGTGGTTTCCCAACTTGGTTCGAGCAGCGGCTCTTGCTGCTGATCAGCTGCACACCAGAATTATGGGGAATGTTGTTCATGAGACAACGGAGTCGAAACGCATCAAGTTTTCAGTTGCAGCCACTGCCGACCGCAACAACGCTGATCCAGTTTGTGCTATCGTTATTTCAGCCATATTCAATAGCGAACTGTCAAGTGAGTGGCCGCTTTCACCCAACCGGATAATTTACTGATTAGCGAAGGCGACAATTACATCAGCGCCAACCTTCCATATTGTGATCAGTCACTTCAAAAGGTCCAAGACTTCCCGAAAGATGATTCCCCCAGACTCGAGTTCAGATTTACATGGCAGAGAGGGCAGCGTGTGTCTAGTCGCTTGTTCGACTACTATCAGGGAGATAAAGTTACCAGGATGCTACAGCAGTTAAGGAAAGGCAAAGACCCGACTGGCACCTCCCTTTTTCTTCAGATGTCCAAAAACAAGTGGAACACCAAAGTCTTTGAACTTGGGATCGGGTTCACGCTTGATATCTACAGAGGTCCTTTACCCCCGACTCGCAGGAGGGCTTTCACGGTGATGAGCGATGATCACTCACACGGCAGTGTTAGTGACATTTAAGGTAGGTTTTAATGTTGTTCAATAATTTTCAGTTGAGACTAACGCACTTCAGATTCGATGATCAAGTCAATTGAATAATGCTCGAGTGGGATGGCCGTTATGCTTCCTTGTATGCACATGAACTTAGCATTTAAAGAGTGCAACTCACCTTAAACAACGCATCTTAACACCGTAGTTCAGCGAAATGACCGTGCCTGACATTAGCAAACTCAGTTTCTATGTTCTACTCTTGTCAGTTACCTTCGCACAGATCCTAGTGGTCAGTACTGCAGAGAACAACCTGGATTCCGACGATCCGGATGGTGGCATTAGTAAACAGGTCCTGGCGATTATGTGGAGCAAGACTGACGAGCTTCTAGTGTTGGATCAACTTTTGAAACCTAAATACTATTATACAGCTAGAGGGTTGAAAGTTGACGCAAAGAAGAACGGATCAACACATGTCATTGCAGGTGACATTGGGGAGTAAAAGATATGTTCGCGCACACGGGATTGTTTGTTTATACTGAATGCATTACGTGCCTCTCGAGATCTTCTGTTACTCTGTTCATTACCCATGTACAGTGATCCTGATCGGACCACTTGGTGGTACTTTTATGAATTTTCGATGATCTTGCAAGGCATAATTTGTCGTAGTAACTTCAGACTCCAAGTTCAGCACGAGGCCTGCGTGTGCGGCAGCGTGTGGGCCATGCCTTCGTCATCGTTGTCATTAACACACGCAGGAGTTGTTTCGAGAGTGCGCTGACGAGAATTTCGTGAACCGAGGATCAGGTACGAGCAACACAATATGATACACATTCCTCGTCTCAACGATAAGGAAGTGGCAGAAGACAGCTTTAAAACACAGCTAGAAAATGTACACATGCTGAGATAAACATTAATGAATGAAACATGCCAGGAATTTGAGAGAAAGCTCACGTAGCACTTCCATTGCAGACTGAGCGTTGAATTTTACAAGCCACCGTGGAGATTCGGGGATAAACCAAATCAACAAGACTTGTATCATGGATGAAACACTTGAAACGCAGAAGGAATTCTCCACGCTCAACTGCTCGAGACAGTGAAGGTGCCATAAGTCTGCAAAGACGACCACCTTGGTGTTTTGTTTCAAATGACAACAACGCACGCTCCATGCCGCGATACGTGGGGCAACTGGGGAGCTGGAATGAAATTGGATCTTGTGATGAGAAAATCTTACAAGATACTCCAAAGGTACCTGAAGCATGATAATGAGAACACGCCCTCATAAAATCACTAAAACAGCCCGCCATAACGGGTTGTACGATGAAGTTAATTTAACACGATGGGAAGGATATGCAATCTCAGCGATAAGGAGTGGGGCTGCAGTCGTTGCGAATGTTTGACCAAAACCGACCAAGAAACTGCACAAACATGTCAGGATGACTCGCAGTGCCAGTATCTCTCGCCCACTGGACTCCGATGAACATCTACAAAGAACTACTGGCAGTCTGGGTCACAGTGGAGGCAATTATCAAATTTGCACCAAAGATAATTGAGAAGCACCGACCCAGGCCATCAGCCATGTAAGGTGCGAACGGGTAAGCACTCAAGGCACCGATATTCTGAGGTTGTCCATTAGCTTTATTAAATAGCAGCAAGAAATCCGAGTTGTCTCTTGTGAAATACACGCAGGTGTTCCTGTACCATAGTGTTGAATGTAGCAGGTGAGTGTAGGTTGCCGCAGCGGGACCAGAAGCCATGCTTCGTTGTGAAGTTGAGGGAGGGAGATGCTTCGAGGATAGTGACTTCACATCCGAGATCATCTGTTTTAAGTCCTATGGAAGAATTCAGGGTGAACGGATATGTGACCATCATGGTGAGGCGGTAAGTTTATCTGCGCCTGACACAAATCATGAGTAAAAACGAGCGGGTAACACCTGGAATCTAAGCATGTTCAGGCCAGAGAAATCCTTGAGCTTCGGTATGTGAAACTTAGGGTGAATTGAAGACTAAGTTAACAGAATTTTTTGAAGTGTACGTCCTGTTGGCATCGAATTTTAGTCCTTGAAATCCAGGTCTGCGAGCTGTCCTGGTGGAGTATTAAAGTCCCTGAGAGCATATATGTAAGTAGCATGGGCGACTAGGAGAGGTAAGTTTATCTGAACCCAAGTTTCAAACGTGGCGAGGAGCGTAAATAGTGATTCGTGTAGGCCAGATAAAGACTCGAGATGGCACGGCAGCACCAGGAGCACGACATCAAGAAACGAGCGAGCCACGATGCTACAGGAGTGAGTTTGATGCCGTCGTGCCTCGACTCACGCTCGAAGATCTCACAAAGCTTCACGATTTGACCCTGCAGTAGCAATAGCCAAACACCAACCAAGAAACAGAAGGTGGAAGTGTTACCGGAGGTTGTCGGGCGATACTTGAACGTTGAGGCAATCCCTGATGGACATGCAACATTTTCGTAGTCACAAGTGCTTGGTACCGGTAGCGCCGTTGCATCCTTGTTGGAGCTAGGGGATGGTGAGGATGAGGGCAAGGATGAATGATGGTTGATTTTCTTGCCCGAATTTTCCATTGTAGTCATACTCTTGATATTTGCCATCGCATTAAGCGATGCCCATCTCCAGAGTAAGAACATAAGACTTGGTCGTGGAGCTTCGAGTCGACGACGCGGGAGCGGCTCGAGTTCGGGCTGTTGTTGTTGTGACTTCGTGTGGAGAAATCAATGCACATGACTTTCACGTGACCGTGTCTGGACAAAATGTGGCACACTAGTGGTCACCAAAATCAAACCCATTTCACCAACTGCCACGATGATCAGCTCCCGCCCGACAGGTATAACATTTGAGGGCGATTACCACCATTTTACGAAGACCCCAGGCAATAGAGTGCTGAAATCACGAAGTGCACTCCAGGAAAATGTCGGTCGCCACGTACCCGTCACAGTCGATGGGAAAGCGAAGAAAGCTGCGGCGTTGCAACAAACTCCGTTTCACCTAAATACCTTGCGTGAGCTACTTTTCTTTCAAGGCTATGTTACCTGCTCTTACAAGGTACTGTAGAACCACAGAAGATCCTCAAAGGTCATGATGGAACAACCAAATCCAAGGGAAAGGAACCAGTCATACTTGCACCTTCTCGGCCTCTGGGGGACAAAACGCCCTTTCCCAACCGCATTTCTAACCATGCTACACCATTGCAAATGACAAAGCCTATCTTTGATGTCACCCCCGGTGCACTTCTTCGCCCAAGTTCCGCACGGAAACATATTAGACTTCCCCGCAGCGCCAGCAAGAGCTTTCAGACACCACTCACCGGTGGAAATCACTGGGATGTCAGTGATATAGACATTATTCCAGAGGTCGTAGCGGCGCCCAGTCAATCGATTGAAAAAGAAGACTACGATGAAATTGAGTACATGCCTCCGAAGCTACCTGGTGGGTAATTTTGACAAATGCTTTCTTCTGCTAATGTATCAACGTGAGTAGAAATGCCATACGAGCCTCCGTTTGAACTTCCGGACTATAAGGAAGTCGGGAGAGCGCTCCTCGCTCTTACCCACTCCTACCCGATCGACGATATACCGACACATCTTATAATCACGGAATTCACGGCAGCTGAATCTGACGACAAATTCTTCGCCCTAAACGAGTTATCTCTTCCCCATCTCGGTAAGCTAATATTACACAATGTCTATTCCGATCCTGACTTCCGTCATGTACAATCAGATGATGATAGTCCATTCTCGCGGGTCAATCCTGCACCGAAGCCTGTGCCCGAGGTGACTCGAGCTCCTTCGTCATCGAAGAACATTACTCGTCCAACCCAAATTACGACGTTGAGAACTATTCGCGCTGCATCCACAGTAGCCCATTCGACTCCGGCTGATACCTCCCGTCCAAGATCTGGCCCACAAGCCGTTTCTCGTTCTGCCGTCACGCGTCTAGGTATGGCAACTTCGAAACCAGCGACCCGTCCAACATCAAGTGCCGCTGTCATGAGGGGACACACATCTAGAACGCCCTCAATGCGTGCCCCTTCGACAACTGTATCTCGAGCGCCATCTACTACCGTGATGACGAGGACGCGTCCCGCAAGTGCATTAGCCACTGGTACTGAGCCCCAAGCAGGTCCAGCAAGTGGGAAATTTGGAACACAGCCGAAGGCAAGTGCACATGTGAAGAGTAGTATGTTGACGAAGAATACAGTTCAAGGAATCGGGATTGTCTTTGGGGATAGCTGGCAGGAAGAGGAATTTAAGTTTAGCGTCTAGGTTTGTGAATTTTTAGCTTAATTTCTGTATACAATACAAATTAGTTTACTGTCTACGCGTAAATATGACTTTGGTGCATGGTTAAATCATTGTCCATCGTCTTGAAGCATGCGAGTTACTTTCCACTGGTCTGCTCCGTCAAGATTTGACATTCAAAAATGTTCTGATTGCACAGTGAAGATATGAAATCGATGTCCTTTAAAGTCGGGAAGCGGCTGGTGCATGAACAGATTATAAGACAAACGAAGAGATGTACCAAAATGGCTTGTTGCTACCGCTGCAGTGAGGTATGTGCGTGATGCTTCAACATCGAGTATGGCACGCGACAGAAGGTTTTGTAAACTTGATTCTACATCAGAGAGCATAATTAGTATCGGTACGAAATTGTGGTACTACTTATACAAGAGAAAGAGGGTCAAAGTCAGTCAATTCTGTGGTACATTCCGTCAAAAAGTCGAGGTCCCACTCCATTTCCGCGGGTGGCCTGTCAGTGCTTTTGCCTGCCATGTGCATCTTGTACGACATCCACAAAGAAGCTTGGCTAGCAGTGACTCGAAGCTTTGGATCCTGGTGCCATAAATTCTGGATGAAATCCCACATGTCATCATCCAGCCCTCGTTGAAAGCACACGCTATCCGTAGGACGCGAGGGACGGCTTCCCATTATGAAATTGGCATCCACTGCCTGTGGGGACAAGTCCCAGAATGGACGTGTCCCATTATACATCTGGAAAGAGATCAGTTCATGGTTAAGCATGATGACAGGGATCCGTACCTCGTAACATATACAGCCAAATGCGAATATATCACATGGGCGTCTATCCATGGCTGACAACAGACGTGAATTTGCACGTGCCTCTAGAAGTTCAGGCGCCATGAAAGAGGGAGTTCCGGCAACAGAGATTATGGTGGTCTGAAGCTGGGCTTGAGAGTCTTGCGTGGTTGCGAGGCCGAAGTCCGCCAAACATGCACGTCCGGAGGAGGAAACCAGAATGTTGACCTTATAACAAATCTTCAGTAGCGTTCTCAATGATCAAAGCATATTAGCATACCCCTTTCAAGTCACCATGCACAATCGTAGGTTGCATTCCATGGAGGTATTCGAGACCCCGCGCAATATCCAATACCTGGTCATTTCAGTAGGCACCAGAAGCCAGAATTCTATCACTAACCAGAGGCGCACGATCAGCATCAGTTCGTTGTAAATACGCGTTCAAATGTCCATTCTTCATCCAAGGAGACACCAGACAGGTCCTAGGTGCACCATCATTAAGATGGAATACGCCGTAGAATGGCAGGCAGCTGGCATGCTGGATGTGACACCAAACGACTGCCTCATTCGAGAAATCCTACAGGAAGTGACGTTATCGAAGTTTCTTTGGGTACGCGATAACCATACTAACCTTGAGAAACTGCTCGGTGGTGCGGCCGACGGCCTGAATCTCTTTCACGGCTACAACGCGACCAAGGAGTTCACCTTTGGAAATTACTCCAGACCCACCATGGAGGCTGGTTGGCTCCAGGTTGTCGATTCGGCGAAGCCGTAGACTCTGAGGGAAACGGCCTGACTTTCTCGACAGTCGGATGATAGCATCCAAGAACCGACATTTGTACCATCCTTCTAATTGGTCCGACTTCATCACAAGTAACTACGAGCAAGTCAGGAACGATGGTATCGAAAATGCGTCGGCCTTACCGCTTGCAGTAAGTCTAACATAGACTGGGCCTTATCGTCTTTGAGCGTAATTAGTTGAGACGTAGCATCTGAGTCGGTTGAACAACTGGCAATCAATGCCCCAATGTCTTGAATATCTAGCGCGTGCAGTCTGGACTGGCTGGTAAGAGATTGGTTACAGACATGCAACTTCACTTGAGCCTAAACAAGATCGGCTGAATCATACTCGATGCATAACAGGGGAGGGCAAGCGCTGACCTGGCTCATTAGTCCAGACAACGCGTCCTTGATGGCCTTGAAATTTATAAGACACCACATGTTGTCCCGTGATACCCAATCGCTTCTCATCTTCTCCAAGTCAATCAGCAGGCTACAGCGACGTTAGATTAAACAATGAAGATGGGGCATGCATATACTTCGGCTTGTCGGGGGCACAGATATTAAGGTGCGCAAACACATGCGCGTACAGTGTCTATCCGTAGACGCTGTCAGACTCCCTGTGTGGCTTCACAACGAAGATCCCACTGACCGGGAAAATGGGCATGCACCGCATCCCTTTGATGCATGCCTGCCTCGCTGCTGCATCCAAGGCCTCAAATCCATCCACCAAATCCTGTACCTGAAACCTCACAGAGTTGCGAAGATGCTGTGTAGAGGTCTGGGGAGAGTCCGTTCGCTGATTACGGGATAGCGCGATGTCGTCAATGGTCGTTGGTGCGGGAGGTCGGACGGGATTGTGCTGCTGCCAAACAGAAAACCGCGTGCTTGAAATTGTGCTCAGCGTAAGATCGGATTCTGTGCTCAGTGTATTGCTTGATTCAGAAGGAGCACTTGTCAAGTTGCCTGTGGACGATCCGGGCGAAGCTGCTGGTGGGTGCGGACCATCATGATAACCAGAGTTCCTAGCATATAACGCCTGGAAATCTCTCGCGAAAATGTGCTTCTCTCGAATATGAAGATTTAGCTCCCGGGTCGCCATAACTTTGTGACAGTGAAGGCATTCTATCGTGGGCACGAACCGTGTCACCGACATAATGAGATACTATCTTCCTTCTATATGGTCTGATTACGGGAGACTTTGTCGTCGAAGAAAGACGGATAAGTTTGATAGCCTAGTTTGAGCACCTTGAAGCTTTATATGGTTGTGAAGGCAAGCTGAGGCTGCCTGAGCGTCAATGACTTACAATAAGCACACAGATCGCACAGCTGAAATTGGGATGGACTCGTGTCATAAGCTGTACCGCAGACAGCAAGCAGATAATACAAGCAAGACAATAATGCACAGGAACGGTCGAAGTATCGATGTTTGATCCTTAATTATGCACATACATGAGCGGTAGTTTCCGAGTGGCCCGGAAATTACCGAGCCACATAAGTTCGGGTCAAAGCAAATTTTTATTCTTCCAACCTCGCCGATTCCTTATCACTCTCCCGCTTATGCTCATGAGGAAGGGACATTATTCTTCGGCGTAGAAGGACTTCTGCAGCTTCACTTTCGCTAGCAGCGCTATGCCTTTTGTTTTGTACATCTGGCGATGATGGTCTTCTAGATAGTGGTGAAAGCTACAAAACTACAAAACCGAATCTATATACCCATTTCTATTACATCCATTAAATGTGACCCAAGTCTTAAGGTAACCATTATTCGTTCGTTGCGATCCTTATCGTGTTAGCTGGACTTGCGGGTCATGCTTTCGAGGATTGCCTGCGAGAAACTCAGCTCATTTCGAACGCCAAACATGGGAGCCAGAACATACGCCGTGACGCTGAATTTGAGCGACGTGAAAATGATCGTCAATTTCACGACATTGCCAACAAGTTCGGACCATCCTCGCTCGTCGAGAATGACCATATCGTCATCCTCTTCGCCATGTTGTCGATAGAATCGACCATAAATCGTGACCTCGGGCTTGTACCGATACTCAGATATCCACCAGTCTTCCTTTGTGGCAAATCTGGTAATGAACATGTCTACTGCTTTCTGCAATTGTTTCAGATTATGGAAAGCAAAGTCTGGACAAGGGGGCGCTTGCCCTGTAGCTCATGGCTTGCAACGCTGCTCTTCCAAACGCACGTTTGTCATCTCTGCAGGTAACAATTATCTGCGGAGGGATGGACATTGCAGTAGCAACAAATTCATGTAGCGTGTGTAAAGCAGAGACAACATCGCCAGGCAGGGCTGTTGGAGCTTGGGAGGACTGTTGAACAGATTCCATCCGACTCATGGTGTCCGCAAACGAATAAAGAACGGCAGTACTGCGGCGCGGCCACAGCTTCACCACGCTGTGAATAAGATGGTTCGGAAGCGCCTGACTACCGTGAGTCTTTTCCTATCGAACTCTATACGTGCTTTGACTCTTTTCTCTAGAATTTCTAGGTGATATATGGTCAGCACCGTACGGATTCTACTACTAACGGTAGTCAGCCTCGAACCATCATGTGGCTGAGTAACAGTGCCTTTAGGAACAGTGCTCATGCGATATTTGTATATTCAGAACCGGAGTGTGTCCCGATCCTGGGCCAGATGAATTCATCATGATTGTTCGAAGTTTCCTAGTCTCCCCTATTAGACAGCCCGAAGGAAGATAGTCGTTCCTTCCAGGTCTGCTTTCCTTATCTAAAGTCCGACAGGCTATGAGTTCGGAACATACCGTTCAACGTTCAACAACGCCACCAATTCTGCCGAATAATGTGATTTCCTGATTTAGCCTGACTGCTGTCACCCCATGAATTGTGAATAGCACGACAGTGTGGTGCTGTTCTATTGACATGGAAACACCTAGAGTGGATTCAGAATGGTGTATTTTATATATGTTGAGGTCCCTAACATCATTGATATGTTAGGTCGATCTTGATCGTAGTGTCCAAAAATCACTCGTTTTGGGTACACTTGCACAATGTTTCGAAAATCGGGAAGGCTCCGCAGCGTCGATTTTAAATATTTGATTCGGTAGGCTTATTGAAAATATGTTCTCCAGCTGTTCCGAATGAAATATATGTAGAGTTGTGAGCTCTGAAGTGCGTTGTGCATGTAATATAGTAGGTATCCCCGCTCCGCACGTCACCGACCACGACGAGTGCGCGCTGTCTGGGGTCAACGCCAAGCCTGCGTGCCCCGGGTGACATATTGCCAATTAGAGGCCCGACCGCCTTGAGAATTGACCGTATCGTTAGAATGTTTTCGACAAGTACACACTAGCTAGTACCACAGGTTCAACGTTGATCGGCTGGTAACGTGTAGACGTAGGCGCAAGCACTAGGCTGCGGCACCCATTTCGAATACTATTTTACATGAAACGAGGCTCTGAGATTAGCTGCGCAGTCAATGATCCCAAAGAAGACTTGGCTAGTATGGCAATCATGCACACGAGGTGGAGCTAGGTGGAGCCACAGCTCAAAAACGCTCATTAGCATTTCCCTTCTGTATACTCTCCAATTGCACCTTTTAAGTTATCCGCCATCCAATATGGCCAAGGTTCCTTCCCTGCTCTCCATCCGACCCCGATCCCTGTCCTCAAAAGTCTTTTTAATTGGTGCTATCGTCACCTTCGCGATCACACTATACACATTTTCTTCTTCATACTCTTTTCGCATATCAGACTGGTCTTCAATATTCTCACAGCAGCGACAGCGTAGTCCATGCGCTCCAGAACAGTGGTCGAACGGGCGTTGGGTATATAGCCCGACGTCTGATTTAGTGAATTTAACGCGTCCAGAACAGGCGCTTTCCTTGGCCGGCTTTGAGGGTTGTGCTGCAGATCGTGAATACCACTGGCATTTGGGCACAGACCACGAGGAACAATGGGATAGATTTCCCAAGGTCTCTTCATACAGATGGTTGCCTTCGAGCCAGTGTGACGTGCGCCCTCTCAATGGTGCAGCGATAGTCAAGGACATGGTGGAGAATGGAGGGTGGCTTTTACTGGGCGGTATGTCGGCTCTGTCCTTTGGTGTTCGGCTCTCATGCATTAGTTTCCTTCACCTTTAGACTCGATAACGGAAAACCATTTCTTTTCGCTGTCGTGTCTGTTATACCCGCACGTCCGTGCAACCCCAAATTACACAGAAAATCCTTACTTTGACCGTGCATGGCAGCAACATTTATACCTGTCGCCGTCGTCCCCCATAATACCCGAAATCACCATGCCGGAGGGCTTCTCAATCGAGAACACACCACTCGTTTCATTCCGACGTGTTGACCTGCTTCTTGACGGAACAGAATTAAACACATTATATCACAGTTCAGCATTTTCTGTTGAACCCACCGACTTGGACAACCAAAATCTCGGTTCTGAATACACCAAGGCAGAGTCCGTATTCGGCGACGAGGCATTTTGGTCGCTTTCCCCATCAGAATATATGCCCACATTCCTAGATTCACCTCCAGATGCCAACTATGGCACGCTAGTTGTGAGTACTGCCGGACACTGGACAACAACCGCATTCAGTGCATTCCGCGACGAGGACGCTGGAGAGGATGCAGGTTATGGCATCCATAATGTACTTGCGTTCTTCAAGGTTGCGATGCGGGCTTGGGCAAGTGAAGTGCAGGACGCCATCACACAATACCGTATAAATGGTGGCAGACGTCCAAAACAGGTAGTTGTCAGAGCGTATCTGCCTGGTCATGAGAATTGCCGTAACATCTTCGAGCCCACGGAGACAATCACCCCATGGGCCAATACGTGGTATAATTGGCCATGGATTCCGGACTTCAACACAAAATTCCAGGTCAGCACTTCGAGATGAATATGAGGTGTGGGGATGCTGACTTTCTCCTTCAAGGAACTGCTGTCATCATCTGAGTTCCCGGACATTCACTATCTTCCGATTGAGAGACCGGGACGGCTGCGCCCTGATGCTGTAAGCCAGTTCTAGTCTCACGCATAGTTCATGTCTCATAAGTAACTGTCCTACCAGCATGCCGCGGGAGATTGTTTGCATCTCATATCAGGTACTGGCGTTCTCGAGGGATGGTCGCACTACATCTGGCATTTTGTCACACGCGAACTCAGGCAGAAGATTTGATGTGACCCCTCACTACTAGACACTGATTTGGACGTAGCTTGGGCCCGGATACATAGAAAGATACCCTATTTGTAAGGAAAGAACACACCTACGTGTATTTATGGCGCCAGGTTGCACGGACTATACCTGCACCACCTCATACCAGCGTTGGTTACAGATGTAGCATTCTGGATTTCGAGATGGATAACGATATATCCCTGGTCGTTCTGTTCTGTACCTTCAAGTTTGATGATTCCACGGGCTCGGCGCGGTTTGACACCGACATCTCGCGAGGCTACTTACATGATCTACTTAGGGCAAGCTTCACATTCAGAAGCCGCCGGCGCAACAAGGCATTTGCAAGTGATAATCGTACATGGAAGAAGGCGAGTAATAGTCACCTGTCCAACGGCGAAGAAGAGCTTGTGCTTCGCGGCTGCCTCGTGTAAGTTTATATCGGTTCCGTATCGAAATATTGAAGTATCAAATTCGACATACCAGGATCCGTATCTCGGCAAGGCTCATGAGCTCGTTATAACTCTCTTGGAAACCCCTAAGGATATTATGGAACACCTCAACACGTTGGTCCCCTGCGATTAATAATGCGGATCTACCCAATCACGTTGATTTGAAAACGGAGTCACGGAGTCATCCATCATGGTAGTCACGTAGGCAAGACCAAGCCAAGGGATGATCTCTTCGTGACCTCTATTCAGAAGACCATGCGTATAATCACTGAAGCCCTTGACCACGGGACTTGAGTCCATGATCAAGAATAGTCGATGAAGGCTGTTGCTGCAATTGCATACATTGGCAAGGCATCATGTTGGCCTCTTAAAGTTCTCATAGCTCCCTGCTCTTCAGTCGGGTCTGAGACGGTAAACACGATCCTTCCTTGTGAAGTCCAGGTTACAGTTGAAAATTGTAGATGCCATCAACTTGCACACGTTCCCACTAGCGGTACTGATCGTGTTCCGTATATTGCTATCTATATCATTCTAATCTGTCCACCAGTTATCTGATGCGGGCTCGCGTCAGAGCAGAAATCGACGTAGTGCGCAGACCCGACAGAATCCCAACTTTCTACGATAGGACACCGTTGCCAGTTCAACGAGGGTATTTGTCGTGAAGCCCTGCTGCGAGCCGTGCGACAGATCTGAAGATCGAAAGAAATATTTATGTGGCATGGGCAGTTGTACTAAGTGAGTCAGATCTCGAAAAATCTACAGCGGGGATCATTTGTGAGCGCGAACCGATGTACTTTTACAATGCTGTGAAGCGGTTAGCACACATTCATCTCGGCGGACTTAAAAGACTGAGGAACGGTTTAAAGGTTTTTTTTTTTTTTTGAATCCCTGTTTTTTGTCCTTTGGGGCGAAGCCCTATGGTAGACAATACATGCGGTGTTTACTCTAATTTGTTTATATACGTGTCCGTGAATAATGAGTCTTGTTCGATGGTCCTGGCCGAGGCGCGGACATTAACACCAGCTTAAGGTGGAAGTATAGTTGTTACAGAGGGTGGAGTGGGTGGCTGGTACGTTTGGTTGTTTCAATCCTTCTTGTCTTTTGGCGGCAATACGTCTCCAAATACTGATTCAAATCTTCTTGTCTTGGCTATATATTTGAATAGTGACTTTAGGCATTCAGTGTCATTGAGGATGTGCTTCATGTGGTGTGCTTTTGTTCCTAATTCTTGTCTGAGGATGTTGCGGTGTCTGGTGTATGCTGGGCATGTGAGGAGGAAGTGGTGAACGGATTCATTTCCTTCGTTGCATTTTTGACATGCTGCTGTTTCTGACTTCAATATGCGATGCAGGTGCTTGTTGAGAGGAGCGTGTCCTGTTCTGAGCTGGAAAAGGAGCGAGCTATGGCGACGTGGGAATTGATCAATGAGTCCTGCAAAGTGTTTCGATGGAGCAGATGGGTCTATAGTTTGTAAGGCAGTGAATCGGGGGGAAAGGTGCATGACTTTTGCTGCTTTGTCTTTGATGCACTCCCAAAACTGTTGCAGTGTGGATGGCTTGCTCATGGGTAGTGTGATGGGGGTCTTTGCTGTTGTTCTTAGGGATTTTGGAAGGAGTCTCCCTTCCAAGACGTCTCTCCTTGCTGCTCTTTTCACCCTCTCATCTGCCTTCTCATTCCCCAGTATCCCTATGTGGCCTGGCATCCATCTCACCACCAATTTTTGGCTGTTGTTGTCTGGGAGGATTGAGCGGAGATCGTCATGGAAGGAGTCCATCAGGTGATGTCTGGGTTGCAAGTTGAATGCCTTTGTTGCACATATTGCCACCTGATTATCCACTCCCAGTGCCATCGACTCTCCCCCTCCCACTCTTCTAATTAGCTCCACTGCTAGGATCATCCCGACCAACTCTCCCTCATATACTGTGTGCTCGCTGTCCTTTCCCAGGTAGAACCTTAGTTCGTCCTTCACTTCTCCTCCTTGCATGAGAATGGCCGCTGCCCCTACTCCTCCATCTATGGCCGATCCGTCTGAGTATACCTGGATCTCTTCCCTTGCCAATTCGTCTTCGTTGGCTGCCTCCTCTTTCTTCCTCACTATCTGTATTTCGACGTCAGTGTTACAGTCATGCTTGCCCCTATTCATTTTCTCCATTTACACTTGTATTATGTCATGACTGCGCCACATCGTGCCATCACTAGACCCGTTTCTATACTTGTATCACATCACGATTGCTGCCGCCGTCATTAGATGACTCTTATCTCTGACTCATCTCCTAGTACCTGCCCTAAAGCACTTACGTCCTATATAAGTCTGGTCATGTACTTAGTAGATCTTTACTTTAATCTTACTAGGTTTTCACCAGAACATTCTTTCACTTAGGACCTCCAATCCTAAGTCGTCTAAAGACAGATATTCAAAGTGGAAACACTCTCTTTGCTTTGTCTTATGACCCTTACATTTGTAAGGTCTTGACTCAACATCAGTCGTTGCTCTTATCAAGTAACTGTCGTTGTGACTATCCTAGTTCGTAACAAAAGATTAAAGTCCTACTCTGACCCTCTCCATCTGAGAGGTCCCAGAAACCAGAACAGACAGAGAGAGACGTATCGTCCCCTGTAGAAACATCACTAGACCAGAAAGATCAGGATGTCAGCACCCACCAACACCCCAGAACTTAAAGCCAGAGCACCAACATCCTACGATGGAACTCCCCAGCAAGCTTTAAGGTGGTTGTACTCAATTAAGGCGTACTTCACCCTTAATGCTACGATTTACAACACTGACGAGAAGAAAGTTATCACTGCACTCACATATATGACAGAAGATAGTGCCATGGGCTGGGCACTCACCTTTTATACTGAAGTTGACAACTCTGTTTCCAAGTCTTACAGAACTTTTGCAAACTTTGAGATGAAATTCAAGGAAGCTTTCATACCAGCTGATGCTGTCAGCACAGCCATGAATAAACTCTGTACTCTGAAGCAGACAGGCGACCTCACTTCCTATATCACCAGTTTCAAGACTCTCGCTGCACAGGCCTCTGTAAAGCAAGATGCCGTCTTAATTACGTTCTTCAATGATGGGCTCAAGAAGGGAATCGGTAACGCTATCTACCAAATGGAAACTGTCCCTGTAGACTTTGACAAGTACATCGCCACAGCCATTCAGCTGGACAGCAATTGGCAAAGAGGTGCCATGTTCCATCAGAACCATCATGCCACTACCAGACCAACCGGACAGAGATATGTACCCAGACCCTCCATCGACTGACATGACCCAAATGCCATGGAAATAGATTGGCTCACTGAAGTCGAAAGAAATGATCATATGAAGAGAGGACTATGTTTCACGTGTCATCAGAAGGGACACATGACTAGAGCCTGTCCCCAGAAGAAGAACAGAAAAACCCCAGTTCACAGAAAAGAAATTGAAGACAGTGACAAGGAAGATGAAGGAACAGCAATTTGTCACCTCGCCGAGGATTTTTAATGTGGAAGACTGGATCAATGTCAGTTTCTTCCGATATAGCTATCAGACTTGTACAAAGTATTGGAATTAGAAAGGAACTTCGTGTTCCTATTTCACTTATCTCCAAAACTCGTCTGAAAACCATTGAGATAACAGCTGTTGTTGATTCCGGCACCACCGGAACATTTATTTCTGAAGACTTTGTCAAAACCCATGGAATTCAGACGCATAAACTTATGAAACCATTCCAAGTCACTACTGTGGATGGAAGTTATGCAAAAGGGGGCGCCATCACCCATTATTGCATCCTCATTGTGAAGATAGATGAACAATCCATGATAGGAAAGTTTAACATCACATGGCTTGGCCATCGTGATCAGATTCTACTTGGGATCCCTTGGCTACGTGCTATGGACCCAGTAATCAGATGGAAAGCAGAAACACTGAAACTCCCTTGGAGTGAAAAGAGCGATCTAATCGAAGAAGATGTTGATAGTGAACAAAGAAGAAATGGTCTTCCACCTCTCTTCCAGAAAACCAGTCAGAAACCAAAACCAGCTCCAGTTGAAGTGCTGCCAAAGGCACCTCCTGCGAAACCAATCATCACTGCAGCACCTGAGAAACTGCTACCTCGAGCTACCATTGAGGAAATCCCAGACGAAGAAGCATCCCCAGAGTTACCCAATCTCAACCCCATCCCTGATGACAATGACGATTCTTTCGATACCAAGGAAGATGTATGGACATCAGACTATGCACCTCCCATGTGTGAGCTCGCTACGTATCATCTCAATGGTGATGAATTTTTGGTGGAATACTCCTGTGATGCTACTGAGCTCCGGGTTATCACCAATGTCTCTTTGGATACCCCACTAACCAAGGACGGTACCAGTATTGTGGAACAGAGACCCACAGTTACACCCCTGTCACGACCAACAGAATATGTCAAAACCAGTAATAAAGCACAACAGTTTGCATTAGCAGCTGGACTTGAACAAAAAAAGAAATCATTCGAAGAACTCATTCCCTCCTACCTTCATGACTTTGCCGATATTTTTGCAAAAGATGGCCTCAACCAACTACCA